AGAGAAAGAGATGTGAAAAGAGAGAGAAGGAGTCATAGATAGAGGAGAGAGAGATGAGAGGGAGAGAGTCCAGTTATTGAAAAATCCACTGGATTTGCCCATGGCTAAGTTTGGGATGAATCAACAAGTGGCTTGATGATTACGGAGAAGTCATTCGGACAGAAGAATCCAAACAGCCGGCGAGTGAGAGAAACAAAACTGATGCGGTGCAACAGATATCCGATCGACAATCAGGAGAACAATTGTTGGGACACTGCCCCCAGTCCAACTTTAACCGATAACAGAGAGAGAGAAAGAGAGAAAGAAAGAGAGAGAGAGAGAGAGAGAGAGAGAGAGAGAGAGAGAGAGAAAGAGAGAGAGAGAGAAGTAGGGGTTGAATTAGTGAGAGAATGTCAATAGAGGATATAGAACATAAAGGGAGGGACGAGAGAGAGAGAGAGAGAGAGAGAGAGAGAGAGAGAGGGAGGGAGAGAGACAGGGAGAGAGAGAGTAGAGAATGACAGAGGAAGACCAAGAGGGGTGTAGGCAATACCAGAGAGAGAGAGAGAGAGAGAGAGAGAGAGAGAGAGAGAGAGAGAGAGAGAGAGAGAGAGAGAGAGATGGGGCATTGCAGAAAGTGAGAGAGACCGACAGAACTATCAGAGGGAATAAGAAATTGAACTGGGATAGAGAGAATGACTAATACACTAATAAATTCCCATACATACACCGCTATAAATACTCGTAAATACATACACTCATACATATACACACAGACACGCTTACAGAAGCCCACGTACACACATACATACTCATACACATATACTCGCATGTAAACTGGGTTCGCGTTAGCGCAGTCAATAGGAGACTCGCTTTCAAATCCAGCTGCGACTTGCTGCAGCCCACGGCCGGTGTTTGAAAGTGGACCGTTCCTGGGGTTTACCCAGCCTCTAGGAAATGGGTACCAGAGCCAACACTCTGGGTAAATAAAGAAACGTCACTGTAGCTACGGAGTTTCGTGCGGACGGCGACACAGGCGGGCAGTTTCTTATCAGCTGTCCGTAATGGTAGCAGAGCACCTATGGCTCATAACCGTGTGCATTGACGCTGGTTCACACCTCTCAACTTTACCTATTTTACCTTTACTAGCAAATATACTAGGAAGAGATAGACAGTTCCAGTTATTGCTGGAAATCTTACAGTGTAGGTAAGTTTGACCTTTGCACAAATTAGGAAAGCTGCGCACAATAATATGTGTGTTTGTTTGCTTGTGTGGTTAGGGAGTCGCCGTGGCGTTGGCGGCTGAATCGGAAGATAGTGGGTTCGCGTCCTGACGGAGCCAAACTTTTAAAAATGACCATGACTCTCAGGTCGACCCAGTCTTGAGTGGGTACTAGGGGCAGTCCTGGGAAGTAAAGCCAATCGGAGTGATGCGGACAACATTACCCATTAAGTGCCGATTGGTCTATAAAATTATAGGTCTAGCCCTATATTCCCTAAAGGCGCGAAAAAGGGTTCTTGACTTTACTTTGCATGAGTGATATAAGCAGATGTGGGTACTCGTCACAGAGTTCGTAATGTGTTGTCTTAAGTTGGAGCGTCACACATTAGGACCCAATTTTGTTGTTGTTTTAAAGGCCTACCCAACATATGAGTTGGACGGGGGCTTATGGGGCCTGTCCCTGTGTGATCCTCATCAGACTGGTGGCACTTTATCGCTTGGTGTGATGTCCTGATGGGGGTTAAACGTCAATCAATCAATCAGTCAATCAATCAATCACGTAGTTCGTACTGTGTTGAGGCGCTCATTAACGATTTGTAGTAGAAGTTTAGTTCGCTTATTAAACCATACGTATAGAAAAACATGTGATCCTTTACAAACAAGACCAGAAAAATAACATTCATCATCATTATCGTCATTATCGTCATCATCATCATCGTCGTCGTTATCTTCATTCCCCTCCTCTTCCTCCTCATCACCATCATCATCACCAAACAGGTAATTTAGGAAAGGTCGTTACCATCACAGAAACCCACTGTCTCCTGTTGATTGTCCCGCGCTCTGAACTGTCACGGTCAGAGTGTTCTTGAAATCCAGCGTCCAATGTGGTGCTGGTCACTCTCTGTAAAACGGAAGAGGAGGAGGGAGAAGAAAAAGAACAAGAAACGGAAGGTGAAAAGGAAAAAGAGGATAAAGAAGAGGAAGAAAAAGAATAGGATGCAAGAGGAGGTAGGAGAAGAGAAACAGAGGGATCGTGAAAAAAATCAGGAGTAGGCAGACGAGAAGAGGAGGAAGAAGTGGAGGATGTGGATAAGAAGAGAAAGAAGAAGGCGATAAAGATAAGGAGGAGGAGGTAGAAGAAGAAAGAGAAGAAGAAGAAGAAGAAGTAGTAGTAGTAGTAGTAGTAGTAGTAGTAGTAGTAGTAGTAGTAGTAGTAGTAGTAGTAGTAGTAGTAGTAGAAGTAGTAGTAGTAGTAGTAGTAGTAGTAGTAGTAGTAGTAGTAGTAGTAGTAGTAGTAGCAGCAGCAGTAGTAGTAGTAGTAGTAGTAGTAGTAGTAGTAGTAGTAATACAGTAGTAGAAAAAGAGGAAAAAGAAGAAGAAAAAACAAGAAAAAGAAGAAGTAGAAGAAGAACTTAATGATGATGATGATTATGATAAGAAGCGGAGGAAGAGGAGTAGGAGGAGAAAGAAGAAAAAGAAAACCTTTGAATTTCAATGTCTCCCCCGCCACACGCAAACCATTGTCCCGTTGAATGAGACTTTCAAAGAACACATTATGTAACGCAGCTTCAATCCAAATTAGAATAAAGCCTTGCTGTGTCGCCTATCTGGCAACTGGTATGATAGCAATTAAAGGCTGGTTGAAATTACAATAAACGTTATAATTCATGTAATCTAACGGTGCCAGCCATCGGATTTAATTCTGTTATGCTAACTGATGAATCTCAAAGCAGGTCAATGAGTCTTTTATTGATGACGTGTTTATGGGTCTAGGAATCGACCATATGTTTTATGTTATGAGGATTTCAAATGAGGATATCATGGGAAGTTATTTGCAGACTATTGCAGACGTGCAGATAAATCAACAATAAAGTTCATTTTCATGCACTGTTTCCTCTGATTGATAGGTGTCGGGTATTTGAACTTTAGCTAATCTTTTTCTTAGCCTTAGTCTCCAACCCCCCCCCCCCCTTTTCTCCCCCATCATTCCTCCAAGGCTTGTAATATAAGCCGCCACATACTGAAGGAAGGGAGTCGCCCGGGCGTAGCGGCTAGAAGCTCGCGTGCGGATCGGAAGGTCGTGGGTTCGCTCCCTGGCGAAGCCGGGTCTTTTTTTTCTCCAAAAATGACCTTGACTCCCACGTCGATCCAGCCTTGAGTCGGTACCAAGTGCAGTCACGGGAAGTGACAGCACCCATCTTGTGCCGATTGGTCTATAACAATATAGATCTAGCCCTATGTGAACTCTGGTAGACAGTTCTGGTGACACATTCATTTATGGATTTTAGTCTTGTCCTAAACACATACGTTTTACAGGTCTGGCTTATTTATATGCAGACTGCGGCATTTTTTTTTTCTTTTTTAGGCAGATGTACAACTAACTAGCCGCTATTTTTTTTCGGCGTCTGTATCTTATGCTCTGCGAACGCTATTCGTAAAGTCTGGGTGCCGGGTTCGATCCCAGCTACTGACGATTTGATTTGCGTTGGTTTCGACAGTGGTACAGAGAGTTGACAGTTCAATTAGCAATGGCAAACTAATAAACTTGACATTTGCCTAGAAAAACCACAATAGGGGAAAAAATAGTGGGGATCTACAACGTCCTGCAAGGGATACTCAACTAACTTTAACTAACTATGGTGGGGGTGGGGAGGGGGGACTGGGGTGCGGGAGGGGGGGGCAGTGGTTCTAATATGTTTGCTTTAAAACAGTTCCTGGAACCCACACGGGAACACACACGTGCATGTGTGTGGGGGCGTGTGTGTGGGGGCGTGTGTGTGGGGGCGTGTGTGTGGGGGCGTGTGTGTGGGGGCGTGTGTGTGGGGGCGTGTGTGTGGGGGCGTGTGTGTGGGGGCGTGTGTGTGGGGGCGTGTGTGTGTTTAGCTTGGTAGGTCTAGTGATGCGTATATGTGTGTTTGTGAAAACTGTTTCAAAATAGAATAAATGAAATATAACAAATAAAACGATTCAAAGTAAATAGCAGCTTTATCTTCAGTTTCTAAGCAGTAGAATTATTGACCGTTTTTGAGCCTCTGGCGCATTGAATATATGGTGCCAGATCTATACTTGTATAGATCAAAGTTATATCATTTTACTTTTGCTCTCGGTTAGTCGGGGGGGGGGGGGGGGCAGTGGTAGCAAGGCCCGAAAATCCTTAGTTTAAATCTGAATTGAGACAGATTAATTTTCAAAACTCTTTTTAAAACTCACCTAAGTTTCCCGGTCGACCCAGCCTACAATGGGTACGAGGTAAAGTTCTGGGAAGTCAGGGCGATCTGTGTGATGTAGTACTTATCGCGTTCCTGTTGGAGTATATAAGCATATGAGTCTAGCAGTATATTCGGTTGTACCTCTAACGGGAAGAAGGTCCTTCATTTTTTACAGGTCGCTGATTGAATTACTAACAGACAGTGAAGTTCATGAGACACCATTGCAGGTATAGATAGTTTATTTTAAGCTTACGAGCGAAGAAGAAGAAAAAGAAGAAGAAGAAGAAGAAGAAGAAGAAGAAGAAGAAGAAGAAGAAGAAGAAGAAGAAGAAGAAGAAGAAGAAGAAGAAGAAGAAGAAAAAGAAGAAAAAGAAGAAGAAGAAGAAGAAGAAGAAGAAGAAGAAGAAGAAAAAGAACTTCTTACAAAGCAGAAAAATGAACTGCGTGAGACGCGAAGCAAGAAGACAAGGGCGTAGAGGATGAATGGGAAAAGTTGTGCAATTTTTATAACAGATTCTTAGTTGAGTCTGAGAATTGTTTGTCCAGGAATATCTTCATTGACAATATGTTGTATGTTTTTCTATTTCCAGAGAGCCTACACACTTATTGTTGAACTTTGGGACAAAGATAAAGACGGACCTGGTAAGTGTCCCTGGTTAATGCCAAGTTTCTGAGACAAGCAGTTTTAGTGAGCATCTTCAGTGATCTATTTGTGCCGTAAACGCCGTGGACTCGTGACACATGAAAGTTAACGTAGGCTGGCGGAAAACAAATATACATAAATAAATTGTAAAGCTGAGAGAGAGAGAGAGAGAGAGAGAGAGAGAGAGAGAGAGAGAGAGAGAAGAAAGAAAAGAGTATACATATATAAAAACCGTCGTCTTTGTCAGCGTAACGAACATCACACATTCACACATAAAAAAAAAACGGAATTTATAAATGGAAAAATGTGATCTTACAGTGAAGTAATGAGGGCAAACGATGACGTCACTAGGACTTAGATGTTGAATATATGTTTTCGTTTACATAGCCCCCCCCCCCCCCCCTTTTCCCCGTCTTAAGTGTTGTGTTCGTTGATACATGCCCTGGATGGTATTCTCAGTGAATGGGGCTTCTAGTAAAAGTTAACGGACGAAGTTCAACAAAGCCTGACATATGATAACACAACATCTAGTTTGAGAATGGAGGTGGAGGCAGTCACTGAAGCTTTCAAATGGCTTAAAGAACCAGATGCATACATTAGTTGTTTTTGTGACTGACTAACATAGCATACTGAAATACAGGTATGTTTCGTGAACAGTGGCAACCATCGCTTCAGAGGTACCGGTTAGTTTCATGCTATGCAAATGTGAAACGAATAGGCAGACACATTGGTTCGTTCTGTGCCAGTTTGTGGCGTTTTGATGCATGATACGCTAAACTTGTCCAATATCCTTTTCAAAGAGTGTGAAACGAATAAATTGTCGCTGTCTAGAAGGGCTGTTGCAGCTGTAAGTATCAAGAGAATCTGGCCGACACTCAAAACTCAGAAGAAACGCAAGGCTGACACACGATCAGGCTGCTAATAGAAACATTGGGACTGCTCTGAATGTCTGAAGTTGGCGACGGAGAGCTTATGGGAGTGTCCTCTCCTCAATGCTGGACGGCTCGGTGGCTAAGTCGAGGCGAACGCTTTGTAATGCCGGGGTGCCGGGTTCGATCCCAGCTGCGGGCCATGCGCCTTGCGTTGGTTGCGACAGTGGTATCAGGGGGCCGACCGTCCAGCAGCAATGGCAAACTACTGGACGTAAATTTGACGAGAGAAACCACACAACAGCCAGGGGTTGCTGGGGTTGGTTCTGCAACGTCATGTAAAGGATACGCAACTAAACTTAATAACCTCAATGGTGTGACTGCAATTCTTTGTTCAATCTTGGGGCGACAACATTCATTTTGAATTTATGATAAGAAAAATATATGCCATTCTATAATGAAGCTCGACTACTGTGCTGTCTTTTGGAAGATTACCTGATCAGGCACCAGTCTCTTTCACGGTGAGACTCTCGTACTATGATACGGTTTTTCTAAAATAAACTGTCGCGGTAGAAATTGAACCTTAGCACTCGAAGTTAGTTATTTAGTTTTCAATGTCTATTTGGTTTTCACTGTGTATGTCTATATAGTTTTCAGCGTGTGTGCGCGCGCGAGCGTGTGTGTGCATAAATATCGTTTCAGTGTTTATATACAGTTTTCAATTTGCGTGTCTATATAGTTTTCAGTACGTATTTATAAACATTGACCTGTACACCAACTCTTGTCTCCTTCAACGTTCACCCAGATGATCTCATAGAAAGAACAGTGCACACCGGCATGATCCTGCCAGGGCAAGACTGGCACACCATCAGCCACACCGGCATCACGGCCAGCACCACCTTTCGCCTAAGAGTCAGGTGTCATGAACACTACTACAACACCACCTGTACCAAACTGTGCAGGTGAGACATAAGTTTACTTTCTCGGTATACTGCTCGACCTTTTGCTGGCGATACGGTAAGTCTGGCGTTGTTATATGTTCGCATAGTGAACGGTTAACCACCTGTTAGCGCAGAAAAAAGGACTTCTTATGAAAATGGTTGATAAGTTTTCTTTGCGCTCTGAAAATTGTGGGTTTCATTTGGAAAAACGTCTTGTCTTGGAAACTGATATATTTAGGCCATATTAAGCACCACGGGGGATGGTGAAGAGAAAAAAAAAAAATTGCAGAAGAAATGTTACCAGTAAAGAGTGGCAGGGGCCGCCCAGCACGAAGGTGGGTACAGGATATAAGTGACAACTTGGGTAGGAATGTTCGCGAGGCTAGAGAGAGCTGGCGAGAGACCGAGCTACTTTAACCAGACCATGATGAGAGCGACGTTCTGCAAAAGACCTACTACATGAGGATGATTTGGGACTTCTTATTTAGGGCTGTACAAAAGATACTCACCAATAAGAAGGTGTCAACTGCAGTGAGAAAACGAGTCTTAAAGTGCAATATAGAATCTGTGTTGGAATGAAAAAAAAACAAACAAAAAACGGGGCAGTCCTACTCTATAGACAGATGAATATCGCAAACTGATTTGAGAAGTTACACATAGACAGTTGGTGTTTTTCGGACATGTTATGAGACGGAATAGACGCGAGAACTTGGTGACGATTGGCAAGATTAGAGAAAAATGGCGACGGTAAAATGATAATACGAGGGTTATTCCAAAATCAGCCTCCGACTGGCTGGTTAAAGTAAATCGTTTGCCCTAGCGACACAGTTCATTGCTTGCATCATTCAGCAGTAATTTAACTCATTACATTTCAACCCACAGTCTCATTTGTTCAGTGGTAGCAGTTCATGAACCTTGAACAAATAAACATGGACACTGTTACTGCCTTTCCCGCCAGCTGTGAAATTCGTGATGTGATTCGTTTTCTTCTGGTTCATTGATGGCTTAGCCAAATAAATGGGGTCAGACAAGAAAATTGCTTCAAAAAATACACTACAGAGTCTTCTTTTTCAGACATGTGCATATATATATGTATATATATATATATATATATATATAAACATAAACACATATAGATATCTGAAATATTCAAACATAAACACACACATACACACACGCACACACACACACACACACATATATATATATATATATATATATATATATATATATATATATATATATATATATATACACACACAATACGTAAAGATCTTGATACCCAGTCCTCACAAACCCGAGTGGATTAGACACACTTTGGACATGTATACAGAATGGAAGAAAATCGGCCACCATGGCAGGTATGGCAGGCTAAAAACCAGGGAACCAGACCTCCAGGGCAGCCCAGGGTGCGCTGGGAAGACAACATCCGACAGTCCCTAACGGACAGAGGAGTGGAATGGAACAAAGCAAGAAAGATAACTGCTGATAGAGAATTCTGGCGATCTCTACACCCCAAGGTAGAAGAGAAGCGACTAAGTAATTAAGTATATATATATATATATATATATATATATATATATATATATATATATATATATATATATATATATACACGCACGTACGCACACACGCACGCACGCACGCACACACACATACACACACACATACACACACATACACACACATAGACAGACACACACACAGACACACAGACATACATACATATACACGCACATACATACAGATTCAATCAATTTTCTGTTACAGACCTCGAGATGATAATTTTGGACACTTTACATGTGATACTCAGGGAGATAAAATCTGCTTGCACGGGTGGATGGGTCGGGAATGCGACATCGGTGAGTTCATGTTTCGATACTTGTAACTGATATTCACTGCCAAAAATAACAGTAGTGGGCAGCTGGGAATTGTTTTCACAACTGTCTATGACTTTAGCTATGCGGCTAAGCAGAGGATGATTATAGAACAGGCCAATGTTGGATTTAGGTAAGTTCTTTTCTGCTTCTTCTTCAGCATTCCGTACCCTTGAGGTTCATTGCTGCAGATATCACCCGCCTCCACTCATCTCTCTGGTTTCTTTTTTCTTTCCAGTTGGTGACAACAAGTGTTTGCAGGTCTGCCCTGACATTATCTCTCCATCGCCTTCTTGGTCTGCCTCGTGGTCTACGACCATTCACCTCCCTTGTGTATACAGTTTTTACCTCTCTGTCATCTGACATTCTCTCAATATGCCTCAGCCATATTAACATATGTAAATTTTTCTCATTATGCCAATGTTCAATGGTGATTTAAACAGAGCATGAACTTCGTTGTTACTTCTCACTCTCCATTTCCCGCTGTTTACATCTTTGATAGGTCCAAAGATTCGTCGTAATAATTAGTTTTCGAAAACCTGTAATAAGCCATTATCTGTTTTAACTGTGCTCCAAGTTTGTTAGATATAGGCGAAATAAATTAAAAGTTAGAGTCTCACAAGCTGCAGACGGCTAAAAAAAATACTGTTTTTTTCTTCTCTCTAACACATCCTTAATGTCGACAGTGGTATCAGGGGGCCAACCGTCCAGAAAGCAATGGCAAACTACTGGACGTAAATTTGCCTAGAAAACCACACAACAGCCAGGGGCTGCTGGGGTTGGTTCTGCAACGTATTGTAAAGGATACGCAACTAACCTAACACATCCAATTTTCTTTTAATTTACATGTTTTTTTAATACAATTTTCCCTTCAAATATTTTAAATGCCAGCGTCCCCCCGCCCAACCCCATAACACCAAGATACATTTTATTATTTTGGGTCTGCAATCTCAGGCTTTTACGCTCGCCTGCCGATCACAAGGTCGTGGGTTCGAGTTCTGACAGAACAGAGCTTTCTTCAAAAACGACCTTAATTCCCAGGTCGACCCAACCTTAAGTGGGTACCAGGTGCCGATTGGTCGATATAATATAGGTCTAGCCCTCTATGCCCAATACGCTGCACCAACGAGGATCCTGCAAATACTTTGGGTAGATTTTTAACTCCAAATTTTGCCCGAGCAGCGCCGTTAGACTACTTTTCGTCGATTTCCAGCTGCCAAGGGATTTTTTACAGTGTTACCACTTTATTCAGTACAGTGGTGGCTCTACTGAGTATCCCCGAAATGTGACTCTGTCTTATAATAATATTCCCCCCCCCCCAAAAAAAAAAAGACGCATTAATGGCTTATTTCATACATGTCCAAATATTAGAAACACATTATTGTAATTAATTTTAAAGTTTTTAAAGCATTTTTGTCAGTGTATTCATATATTTAATACTTTATATTTCAATATGGCTGATGCATGTTTCAGCGGGATGAACGAAATCCATCCCATCTAGCTGACGATTTTAACTAGGGTTTATATTTCGGGTAGGGCTTATATTACTAGCATTCTGGACAACTGGGTTAGATATTATTTGCTGGGAAACATGGTATTCTCGCATGTCGCAGAGACATTAAGGAAATTACGTGTAGTTTCATTAGTGACTGCAGTAAAACGACGTTGCTAGCAGATAGTGTGATGGCACTACATGGATTGTAATCATTTGTTTTTATGTCGTTGCTTGTTTTATTCATTAGCCAACTGTCGACAAGGCTGCCATGCAATATACGGATCCTGTAACAGGCCAGGAGAATGCAAGTAAGGATTGTTATTTGTTACGCATTGTTGATTAATTATGGCTTATAAATCTTCTTCATGTCCTTTTTTTAACCGCTTCCGCTGTAAAGGGAGACAAGAGTTCAAGAGTTCTGCTTTTTGGTCTTCTAGCTCATCCGCAATCAGGTCGCCCATTCGATCGCTGGTAGACGACTTCGTCGCCGCTCGGGACAGTATTTGGGTCTGTCTGCTTTGATCGCATGAGCACTGCAGGAATCATGTTCAAGGCTTGTGTTGTCGTGCAATGCTTAGCCATTTTATATGGCGCACATAACCGAGTCACAGTTATAACCTAAAGCTCCTGCTCGGGTGATGCTACTTGAACGTGACGATTTGTTTCCTCAGCAAAGCAATGGAACGGTCTTCTGGCAGCCTCGACGCTGTTGTAGAGGTATACGATGTCTGTCCATTTTGTTCTTGGTCTACCTTGTGATCTACATTCTTCACCTCTTTTGATGTATGCCTTTTATGATATGGCGTCACATTTGCCGAATACGCTTGAAGGCGTGGAAAGGGGACCTTTACTCATTAATTTATTATATTACTAAGAATTAAAATACAAAACCATATTTCTTTTAAAGCTCAAATTAGTTTGTTGCAGTATTTGCTGTATATAATAATTAAATTGTCTTAGGTTGTCACGATAAACTGGTTTGCGAAGTTAACTCCTACTAAAAAATATACAGCTAGTGTTTCGGGGCATGGCAACAATGAAGCCAATGAAGCCACAAATACTAAAGCCATAACATTATAGCGTGAGCGATCATGTCTCTCCACAATCTATGATCTTCAACAGAACCGTACCTGTTCATGTGTTGACACCCCTCCATACCATGACAAAAGGCTGCCAAGAATCGTCTCGTGGTGTCTGCCTCTGTCTCACTTTGCACAAACCTTTCCAGTGGTCAGAAAATGTTATAGTTTCCCTCATCTCAAAATATAGCCCGAATCATTCTTTTTTTTTTTCCTGATGTTTGTGATAAGTTGTCTTCAAGGCCTAGCCTCTTTCAAAATATCTGAGTTGATTGTGTTTGGCTGTCCGTTAAATTCTAAGAAGTCTTCTTTAATATTACATCTCAGAGGGCTACAAAATGTTTTGGCTTATTAGAAATCCAGAATTCACAGCCATATGTTAAAAATTGCTCTATAAAGCATGCGTGAATACTTTTTTTCTAATCACTAATCACATGGATGTGTTGCATACAATGTACTTTTCTGTTCTTTCTCGCTATGATACATATTCGGTCGGATGTTATCCATAGGCCTAGATACTTAAATATATGTACTTATCCAAAAATAATGCCTTTGTATGTTTTTGTGCATATAGATGCAATGTTTTTTTTTTTATTAACTCTATAAACGTCTAATTACAACAGTTGTGGGAGCACGTTGTCAGTGGCAACAGTCCACCGTGAATAAAGAAACGAACGAAATAAATAATTACAATGCAATGTTTTACACTCAAAGGTGACAAAATAATGCAAACAAATCACACAGTTAATTAATTACCTGTAAAATACCCGAAAGCTGTTTTAATAAAACATGTCACTAATGTAGTTCAATGAATCACCTCTATATTGAATTAGAAACAAACTGCGGTTTTGTTTAGCAATAAACAAAGCGTGTGCATACAAATTAACTAGACGTTTTTTTTAAGTGGTTTAAATTTACGCTACTACTCAAATCTTCCTTATAGGACGCATCAATCGCCCGTAAACGAATCTCCATAATTTAAACCTAATATTGCTCGCAGCCATGAGTTGCGACATTACATTTTATCGGCAGGCGTACTTGATTTGATGCTGCAACACTGGTGCAGATTTCCCGATTACTCTTGTCATGAAACGGGGAATTAGAAATTTGACTCCATCTGTGCTTAGTGCTGCGATACTGTTAACCAGTGATGCAAGACATTAGCGTGGCAATATATTGTTGGAGTTTAGGAAACTATTGGTTTTTCACTATAACAATATAGTTGTTATTCTGTTTTAAATATCTGGTCTGGAGTCTCCTTTAGCGATCGTTGCTCTTCACTTCTGTTTGTTATCTGATATTGTTGCCTTGCTATTGAGGCTTAGACAAAGCATTTATGTTTCCATTATCTTGTTTTGCTCAGTGTTGGCCCATGCAAGATAATTTAATGATCCCAAATCCTTTACCGATATGCTCTATAAATTATGTTTGTCCCTTCTGCATGATTTGGATGAATGATCTTGTAACAGATGTAGTTCTCAATACTTCACAGTTTGTTTTTACTTCTGCCTATAATATTCACATAATGGTTAGTTGCGTATCCTTTACAGGACGTTGCAGAGCCAACCCCAACAACCCCTGGCTGTTGTGTGGTTTTTATAGGCAAATTTACCTCCAGTAGTTTGCCATCGCCTACTGAACGGTCGGCTCTCTTGATACCACAGTCGAAACCAATGCAAGGCGCATGGCCCGCAGCTGTGATCGAACCCGGCATCCCGGCATTACGAAGCGTTCGCATCGACTTAGCCACAGAGAGCTGACTTTCACATAATGCTTGTAACAAAGCGCATTTCCGCTAATTCCTGATTTTCCCCCCTTTTTAATACACATTGTCCGTTAGCTTCCATACATGTGGGAACTGCGTGGTCTTGAGGCATGGTGTCCCTTTCGAGTGTTAGAGGTTCCGGGTTCAATCCCCGGTAAGGGCTGGGATTTTTTTTTCACGTGGACTTGGACCTCTAGTAATTCCCCCTGGTCTCTGGGTAGTGAGATCGGACGCCCGTGTGTTGCGGACGTAAAAAAAACCCTTTGCATTTGGGAATAGAAAGAAATAGCCTAACGGCGCTACTGGGGCCAAATTTGGAGTTCTACCCAAATATTTCAGGATCCTCGCCGGTGCTACAGAGCCTGTGCACTGTGCTGAGCGTCTGTGGAATCAGACTCAAGTTATAAAAAGAACGGAGCACTTATGGGTTACGACCCGTGTGCCATGATGTTGTTCAAACTTCCCCTTTCCAAATTCCAACTTCCTTACACAAGAACAAACCACCCGCAACAATTTAAGTACCGGATGTTTGTCATTGTGATATTTCTCATGTGCAAGACCAACAGATGTAAAGTGAGATGACTGAATGGTTCTTATTCTTGCAGGACTTCAAGTTGCTCTTTACATTTTTTTTTCGTTTTCTGCCTTTCTAACCCCCAATGGAGCATAGGCTCTCAACCAACTCACGCCAAGTCGTTCTATCCTTCGCTTCTGCATGTAATTCTCTCTATGTCCTTCACATCTGTTTAACTTCACTCTCTGGCTCCCTTCTCCATATGTTTTGTGGGGCTGGTGGAGGGGGTCTTCCTTTTTTTTTTTTATTTCCATGTGGGTTCCAATACAAAGACATTCTAGTTATTTTGCCCTAGGATTTTCTCAACGTGTGTCCTATCCAACGCCAGTGTCTCTTCTTGACTTCGTAGTCCACTTGATCTTGTCTGGTTTTCTCTTGAAGCTCTACATTAGTGATTCTATCGTACCATTTAATACACTTTATTTTGTGCAGACACCAGTTAACGAATGTTTGTAGTTTGTTAGTAATTGCGTTAGTTGTTCTCTATATTTCCGCTCCATACAACAGTACTGATTAGACATTATAATTTAACATTTTAAGTTTAGTATTTCTTTCAATTTCTGTTGACCTCAACAAATTTCCTACTGTTATGAAACCTCTTCTTGCCTTTTGTGTTGGTATTGTAATATCTCTATCCATTCCCCCTCTTCATCTACATCGCTGCCCAAATAGGAGTATGACTCCACACCAGGAAGTTTAAAATGGCCACTATACCTCAGCTTTTGGGTTAGGATACAGTGTAATTGCCAGTTCTTCCATATGCTCAGATCATGTAGGATATGGGTTGTTTTCTTCTTCTTCTTCTTTCTTGGTCGGGTAGATTTTCCTTCAGGGGCTCCGATTTTTTTCTTCAAAAACTGAATCTTCAGCATTCACATCCATAAGCTGCGACGCGGAAAAGAATCATGATCTAAGAATTCTTACTTAAACTTGCTTGCAGGTGCTGTGTTAATAGATTCTTCACTTTCCAGTTTCCTATCTTTGTTTTACGTTTAACTGCAGTGACAGAGCTCTCTTCACTGCAGCGACAGAGCTCTCTTCACTGCAGTGACAGAGCTCTCTTCACTGCAGCGACAGAGCTCTCTTCACTGCAGCGACAGAGCTCTCTTCACTGCAGCGAAAACAAATTTCGAGAACAACACTTTTAAGTCATTTACATTGAGAAGCAGAAGATAAAATTGTACTCCCGACTCGCTAGAATGCCGTAATGCCATATTACCAGGAAGGCGCTGCTAAGAAGAGTTCATACGAGAACAAATATATATAATAAACATACAAATTGATCGGCACTCACAGAAAGCAGCAGAAAGACAGAAGAACTTACTAAAAAATGTACTTCTTTGTATTACTTTCTATGAGTATCGTTTAATGTATATGTTTATTTTAATTAGTTTGGCGACAGCATCGCAGGTTTCCTAATTGTTTATTTCTATATAATACGACTAAACCGACTGAACCAGCAACTAGGCCCTTAGAGATGTGGGAAAGATGGAGGACTTTCGAGACAGCAATTCCACATCGCTCACCAGAATGAAAGACTCGGGAGTTAAGATCGGCATAGCCAAAAGCGAGAAACACACTGGACATACAAAAAGACTTATCAATCAACAAAGAACTGGCATTATTTGTCACAGGACACTGGGTTTCATAGTGAGGGAAGGATCTGAGCGCCCATGGACATACAGTACAGTGATAGCGACTTAACCCACCAAGAGTTGAAAACGTTAATACAATCTAGTATCCAAGAAAGGTGGCTGGATACCCACACCAAATTTTCTCCCCAAGACTCGCTTCATCGTCTCTCTAGAGAGGGACAGTGCATTATATTCAGACTAAAGACTGGGCACAACAGATTTCGTCAACATATGTTCAAAATTTTCGGTGTAGGAAATACGGAGACGTGTTCCTGCAGCGTGGCACCCGAAAATGCTGACCATGTGCTCCAACACTGTCAACTGTATGCTGAAAACAGAGACGCAATCTGGCCTGTTCCAACCACACTGAAGACAAAACTTTATGGTACACGAGAGGATCTGGATTGCACAATAGCTTTCATAAAGGCTACCGGCCTCTTGATATAAGTTTTCTGACAGAAGGATCGAAGAAGAAGAAGAAGATATCCCATTTATTTACTAAACTAACCAACCAAACAACCAACCAACCAACCAACCAACCAACCAACCAACCAACCAACCAACCAACCAACCAACCAACTAACTAACTAACTAACTAACTAACTAACTAACTAACTAACTAACTAACTAACTAACTAACTAACTAACTAACTAACTAACTAACCATCAACTAGGCGACTAAAAAAGTAATCAATTAACACCCAATTAACAGACTAACCAAGCAATCAGCCGACTAAACAAGGAACTAACCGACTAAAGAAGTAATTAACCGACTAAACAACCGACTTGAACCCGGAACCTCTAACACTTTAGCTAACCGTATAAGTAAGTAAACAAGCCAGATTATTTCCATCAAACCACCTCAACATGATCTGTTTGTTGATTCCACAGCTGTGCTTACGGCTGGCAAGGGCCGTTGTGTGATCAATGTATCCCCTACCCCGGATGTAAACACGGCTCCTGTAACGGCTCTCCCTGGCAGTGTATCTGCCATCTCAACTGGGGAGGCATTCTCTGCGATAAAGGTATTGTTTCTTATTTAAAGACGTTTTTTTTTCTTTTAAAAAATAACATTGGCTTCCAAGGAGATCTAGTCCCACATGGGTGCTAGTTAAAGTCTGGAAAGTAAAGGCGGTCTGCGTGATTTTGACCTCATAGCCCAGTTGATCTATATTTATTTGTATAAAATATATATCGAGGAACCAATAGTCTGCTTAAAAATTAAACAGGTCTGTATAACGAATGTACATGCAAAATGCAAGTTCTGGTTCAAGACCAAATTTCAGGTTGACAAACAACCTGAAATTTCCACCAGAGTTTACTGATAGTGAACGCGAAAAAGAAGAACAAGACCTATCACTATATACCCAATGGGCGTGAAAGCGCTTGAAAGGGACCTTTACTGTTGTTATATAAGATCATTTGTCTTCACTGGGAACCAAAGCGCAGTGACTGGACTAGCACCTTCCGTTGTTGGGTCTGTATCCGGTGGTCATTTGCTGATTTGAAGAAAAAAAATTGTCATGTTCCACCAGTATCATCGAAGGGGGTGCTTTAGGTTATAATTGGGACTAGGTTTATTTGTGCTTAGCATTGCACGCCACCAAGACATCATCGCCGACCAGGTCGCACATTGACTTGCCGGCGGACGGCTTCGTTATTCGTCGTTTTTTTCCCCCCGTGTGGGTTCCGGGGCCTCATTGTGGGGGAAAACAAGAATAGACCTACTGCCTCCGCAAACGCATGTCGTAAGAGTAGACTAACTGGGGAGCTTCCTTTGAAGTCGGAGTGCATCTGCCTGAGAGGCAAGGAACCAACAGTCTGTTTTCAAGAGAATAAGATCTGTAAAACTGATGCACACGCAACACTCAGGTTCTGGAGCAGGACTGCAGTTTAGTAGTAGACGAGCAACCAGAACTTTCCGCCAGAGTTTACAGCTGGTGAACGCGAAGAAGAAGAAGATCAACACTTTTCAAGGCTACTTGTTCTTGATCGCATCAACACTTTTCAAGGCTACTTGTTCTTGATCGCACCAACACTTTTTAAGGCTACTTGTTCTTGATCGCACCAACACTTTTTAAGGCTACTTGTTCTTGATCGCATCAACACTTTTCAAAGCTACTTGTTCTTGATCACATCAACACTTTTCAAGGCTACTTGTTCTTGATGGCATCAACACATTTCAAGGCTACTTGTTCTTGATGGCATCAACACTTTTCAAGGCTACTTGTTCTTGATCGCATCAACACTTTTCAAGGCTACTTGTTCTTGATGGCATCAACACATTTCAAGGCTACTTGTTCTTGATCGCATCAACACATTTCAAGGCTACTTGTTCTTGATCGCATCAACACATTTCAAGGCTACTTGTTCTTGATCGCATCAACACATTTCAAGGCTACTTGTTCTTGATCGCATCAACACATTTCAAGGCTACTTGTTCTTGATCGCATCAACACTTTTCAAGGCTACTTGTTCTTGATCGCATCAACACTTTTCAAGGCTACTTGTTCTTGATGGCATCAACACATTTCAAGGCTACTTGGTGGCGAGCAATGCTAAGCGCATATAAACCTAATCACAGTTAAGTTGAGTCAAGAATTAACATCCCAGCACTCAGGACATTCCCCTGCGTGCTCCGTCCTCATGTTCAGCAGCCAGCAAAAAGTTCCAATACTGATGGTACCGGTCACAATCTGGTTATATGACCGTCTTGCCTTTCCTCTGAGTGTAGTGAGCCGGCCAGACCCTCTGGCTAAACCCAGGTGCCTCATTCTCTCCTGGCCATAGTAATCTTAAAAACCTAATCACAATCATAACCAAATGTCCCCCTTTCCCCTTTTTTTCGGGGGATGCTGGTTGGACATGACGACCCCCCCCCCCCCCCCCCGCATAGCAAGTCAAGTCAAAACGCCACCAAGAGCCCTGAAAGGGACTCCTGCAGTGTTGACCCAAATACTGTCCAGACTTGCGCCGAAGTCGTCTACCGGCGAGTCTATGGTCGAACCGGTCGCCGATTAATGAATCCGTCCCTGTGCACATTTTATAATTGTCAAATGTCTCTAAAGGTGACCCAGCCTAAAATGGATCACATTTCACTAGGAAGTCAAAGCGGAAGGTGTTATGATTACCAGGTCACTCATCGATTAGAGCTTTGGTCTATATAAATATTGGTCAAGTAACATACTCCCTATGCGCCAATGGCATGTCTGCACGTTTCATGGCGCCAGCACTAGCCATGCGGCCCAAAATTTTCAGGCTTAAGATAAAATCTTTGTCTTAACATTCAGTCGGTTTCTGCTGCATAAACTTGTCCTCCCAGTGTCTTCTGTTCTGTTTCTGCACCATTTTTTCAGCTTGCATGCCTTCAGTAAACATCACAATCGGTATAAATCGACCAGAAACATATACGGACTTTTAAACAAATTGCAACTGGCACTGTTATAATGGTAACTCTTCGTTGGCTACACAGAAAAGAGACAGATCACGTGGTATAATGTCCCCAGAGTAACGGTTTCATTTCTTGACTCACTCATTTTTTGTTTCGTGTTTCAGATTTAAATTATTGTGGGCGCCATCATCCGTGCAAGAATGGCGGTCTATGTCGCAACACGGCGCCAGACAACTACGACTGTTCCTGCCAGATGGGCTTCTCTGGTAGTAACTGTGAGATTGGTGAGCCTAAACAGTTGTTGTTGTTGTTGTCTGGCAGCTTTCCATATTTTTAGGCAACAGTGTTCCATTTTTAGAGGAGGCATAGAAATCTCTGCCCACAGCCATGAACGGTTTAGGTCGGAAATAAAGTTCATTTTTTTCACCTGCTGGTCAGTTTTTTTTAGAAATCATGTGTTGCCCATGCAACCATCTCGACCTGCTTTGTTTATTAGAAAGGAAAGCTAACACCAATACCTTTGAATCAAAGCATTCCGCAGAAGTTGCCGCATCAGAGGAGCAGTACTATGTCTATGGGTGATTTAACCCTAGACAAGCTGCATTGTGAGGCTAATGCTCTCAAAACAAAACTAATCTGCAACCAGTACAACCATTATCTCACAGTTAAAACCGACCTCAATTCGGGAACCGTATCTAGTACAATTAGAAAATGTTTTATATATATATATATATATATAATGATCTGAACGTCAAGGAAGATTGGCTAATAAACAGCATTCTGTTTGGAAAGCTGAAATATTTTGGTCATATCAAGCGCCATGACGGATTGGAAAAAAATATAGCAGAAGACCAAAAAGGGGAAGGGGGCCGACCGACATGAAGATGGGCACAGGATATAAGTCACTCCTTGAGAATAAAAGCACATGAGGCGTGATATCGAGTTTCTTTCAGGTAGACCATGATGAGAGCGACGTTCTGCAAAGGACCTGCTACATGATGATGATATATATAAATATAATTGTGCATAATTTTTGTTCGCTAATCATAACAAAAATCTACATATCATTTTTTAAAATTCCTTAAACTGTTTCCATTTATAAATTGTTTGTTGTAATTTTAATCTGTTCTAGTTGTAATTCTATTATGATAAGCAGTTTATATCACGTACGGCCAGGTTCCGTTTTGAATTTGGCCTATTATCCACCAGTATCAATATGTCATTTACAGCTTCAGAAAGTAACACTTATACTATTTACGTGATATTAAATAGCCAGAAGTATTGCTTCTTCTTCTTATAGTCTATGCCGTTTGGTGTCGGAAGTCACATACATTAACAACCTTCTGTCTCGTGTACTTGAATCAGTTCTGGCACATATGATCTTCAGTGACCTGTCAAACTTACATCAAACTGTCTAGCATCTTCTCTCTCCGTCTCCCTCTTCCCCGTCACTCTCCAGCTTTCCTGCTGTCAGAAATGGACTTTCGTTTTCTCCTTCTTGTGAAATTATCAAAGAATGTATATTGTTTCCTTTTGCCGTGAGCAGTCAGGTGTCTTCGTGAGTCAGTTTCTTTCAAAACATCATCATTACCCTTTTTCAACTGTCCACTGTGTTTTATTCAAAGTAACTAGACTATCTAGCTAGATTATCTGAAATGATTAAAAGCAATCGTTGTATTACAAGGTTAGTTGCGTATCCTTTACAGGACGTCGCAGAACTAACCCCAGCAGCCCCTGGCTGTTGTGTGGTTTCTCTAGGCAAATTTACGTCCAGTAGTTTGCCATTTCTCTGGACGGTCGGCCTCTGATATTTCTGTCGAAACCAATGCAAGGCGCATTGCCTGTAGCCGGGATCGAACCTGGCACCCCATAGACTTAGCCACAGAACCGACAATCGTTGTATATCCCAGTTATTTCTTAGAGTTGAGTGTGATAATTGTCATATAACTGCTAAACAGTAGGAAAAAGGGCCTTTTTTTAACGATAGTGGCGTATCAAGCTTATCACGCTAGACCAGTGTTTCCCTACTTTTCTTAGTCGCAGATCCTTTTTGTTTCAATAAAAATTTTCCCACGGCGCCCTAACCTAAGTAAAAGTATGACTATTCGTATGTAAGAGATAAAACAAAAATAAAACTCGTGGATCTTCGAATATTTCGCAGCGCTACTTTGAGGAGGTCGCGGCTGCTGTTTAAGAACCACTGCGCTAGATTAATATTTTATAGACCAGTCGGCACGAAGTCGGAGTGGTCAACTTTCTCTCGAGCGCCTTAACTACCTTTAACATTACCTCTTATCATATAGAGCTGTGGTGGGAGCTTCTTGGCGTGACAAAGTGGTCAAACTGTTTGCCACGCGCTCTAAAGGCCATGGGTTGGTTTCGCGTTGAGTTCACGAGTTTAATTTTACGGAGATCCAGGAGGATCTTCACCGGAGCTACGGAGATCGTGCTCTGTGAGACGCACTTGGCAGGCAGATATCTGTTCTGTGGAGAGAGCCTGAGCCATAAAGGATAAAACCCGATACAATGAAGTCGATCCTCACCTTCCCATGTTAAGCTGATAACTGCTGCTACAGCTTCTAATTCAAGAGCATATCAGTATTATATAATCCCATGTAATTTAATACTAGACAGAACAATAATGTCTGCAGGTGTAACTGTTACCATCAAATCAGAAAGTAGCACTATAATAATGTATTATTGATTTTGTTCGTGAAAGGTGTTTAAGAATAGTCGCTGTGACTGGCTATCTGACCCCATTGACAACTTGAGCTGCAGAATCCCATTAAATCGCCAACAATTCTACAAATTTCATAAAATGATTTTACTGATGGACTGTTCTTAATCCCAGAGTGTGATGTAGAAGAAAGAAAGCGGAAAAATACTATTGTAATCATCTTAGTATTATGGATTTAGTGTCAATAGTTTCAATTACCGGCATTTAAAAAAAAAATTTCAAAACAGCGTCTAGGTCCTTAGCAAATCTAGTAGTCTTATCCTTTTTGCTTACAAATAAGACTTCCTTTGCCCTCGCCATCTTGTCCATTTCAGTACATTTCATTTCAGTCATTCACTTCTCTATGTGGTATGTGAAAGAAAGTTAAGCTAGTGATCCGGACATCTATCGGTTTTCTCCGGCTTTCTCTGAACTGCTTCATTATAATTATAGAATAGCCATAACTTCCTCTCTCTCTAGCCCCTCACACACACACACACACACACACGCACGCACGCACGCACCCATACCCACCCACCCACACCCCCACCCACCCACACACCTCCCCCCCCCCCACACACACACGCACGCACGCCCACACGCACGCACGCACCCACACCCACCCACACCCACACCCACCCACACACACACACCCACACGCACCCACACACACACACACACACACACGGTGTGAGCTGATTATTCCTTGTTTCAATGTTAGACATGTTCATAGTTGGGCGGTTTCAGCGGCTTAAATTTAATATGTCTTGCAATGGATTCCAGGTCGATGGAAGGCAATGGTATAACGGACAGATAGACCAAAAGCGGCAGTGACATGATGCAGTCAAATGGTGACTAAGACATTCATTAACCTAATGTCCAAGAAAAGTGGCTGGACACTAGAACCAGATTTTCTTCCCAAGACTAGCCTTATCGCCTGTCTAGAGATGATAACTATATCATATCCGGACTAAAGGAAGGACACAATAGATTTTGCCAACATTGGTTCAAGATTTTCCACTTTGGAAACACAAAGATGTGCTGCTGCAATTTGGCATCTGAAATTGCTGAACGTGTACCCTAACAGTGTACTGTATGCTGCTAATGGAGAAACCATCTAGTCCACTCCAACCTCAGTCAAAACAAACCTGTGTGGCACATGGAGAGATTTGGACTGCATGATAGCTTTCACTAGGCTACTGCCCTCTGAATATGAGGCTTTCTGGGAGAAGGATCGAAGCAGCAGCAGCAGAAGAAGAAGAAGCAGAAGAAGAAGAAGCAGAAGAAGAAGAAGGAAAAGAAGAAGAAGAAGAAGAAGAAGAAGAAGAAGAAGAAGAAGAAGAAGAAGAAGAAGAAGAAGAAGAAGAAGAAGAAGAAGAAGAAGAAGAAGGAAAAGAAGAAGAAGAAGAAGAAGAAGAAGAAGAAGAAGAAGAAGAAGAAGAAGAAGAAGAAGAAGAAGAAGAAGAAGAAGAAGAAGAAGAAGAAGAAGAAGAAGCAGAAAAGAAGAAGAAGAAGAAGAAGAAGAAGAAGAAGAAGAAGAAGAAGAAGAAGAAGAAGAAGAAGAAGAAGAAGAAGAAGAAGAAGAAGAAGAAGAAGAAGAAGAAGAAGAAGAAGAAGAAGAAGAAGAAGAAGAAGAAGAAGAAGAAGAAGAAGAAGAAGAAGAAGAAGCAGAAGAAGAAGAAGAAGAAGAAGAAGAAGAAGAAAAAGAAGAAGAAGAAGAAGAAGAAGAAGAAGAAGAAGAAGAAGAAGAAGAAGAAGAAGAAGAAGAAGAAGAAGAAGAAGAAGAAGAAGAAGAAGAAGAAGAAGAAGCAGAAGAAGAAGAAGCAGAAGAAGAAGAAGAAGAAGAAGAAGGAAAATAATAATAATAATAATAATAATAATAATAATAAGAAGAAGAAGCAGCAGCTTAAATTTTGTTATTTTGTGAGGTTGCAACGCAAAGCCCAACCTTAACCTTTGTTGCTTTTACAACATGCATGATTCGGTGGAATGTGTCTGTTCTTAGTTTCCTCTAAGGGGACCTAGTAACACATACAGGATATGAATTACTGTCTTTAAATAAGGGAAAACATTATCTGTGCAACAGGGAATACCTTCATTTTGCCGTGTGCTTAAACCCTGATATTCTTTTAGCTGAAACATAAAATGAAAATACCAACAGTTTTTGGTTGAATTGGATCATTCTTATACATTCTTTCAAGGGAGATATATTGAAAACATTGAGGTTCTTCCGTGTCTAATGTATGGTTAAAACAGTCCTATTCCTTTAGTTAAAAATATATAGTTAAAACAGCTCAATTCTTTCATCTGAAACATGTAGTTAAAACAGCTGCATTTTTAAAGCTAAATCATATAGTTTAAAAAAAATGTAAATTCTTGCAGCTGAAAAATAATTAAATGAAAATACTTCCAATGAATCACCTGAAACATATATTTAAATCTCTTCTATATTTCTCTGAAATATATAGTTTAAACGGTACCGTCACAGTAGCTGAATCATTTAGTTAAAACATTTCCGTTCTTTCAGGTAAAACATATAGTTATAACATTTCAATTCTTTCAGGTGAAACGTATAGTTAAAACATTTTCCTTCTTTTAGGTAAAACGTTTTAAAATATTTCCATTCTTTCAGGTAAAACATATAGTTAAAACATTTCAATTCTTTCAGCTGAGAGAGCTTGTTTCTCACAGCCATGTCGCAATGGAGGTTCCTGTGTAGATGTGGTCAGTGGTTTTGTCTGCAACTGTCCTTCAGGCTGGACTGGAGAAACCTGTGACATTGGTATGTATTTAAATATTTTTTTTGTCTTAGAGGTCTGATTTTGCTATTTTAAACTTTCTGTTCTTGTAGTCTACTCAGAATTGTATTTCAAAGTCATCTTTTATTCTATCAAATGAGAAAGAGAGAAAGAGAGATAGAGAGAGAGATATGGGTGGGGAAATGAAAGAGAGGCGTGGGGAGAGATGAAAAAACTGAACTGGAGAAAAAATAAAACAAATGTGCAAGTTGCTGTTGTATTTTTAATTCAATATCTACATAATTATTAATTGGTGGCAATAAAGAGAGAGAGAGAGAGAGAGAGAGAGAGGAGAGAGAGAGAGAGAGAGTGCAAAACTGAGAGAAACTGATAAATATGATGAGCGAGAGAAATCAAGAGATGGGAGGGAGAGAAAGAGAGAAAATATAGAGAGGAAGAGAGATGAAACATATCAAAAGAGAAAGAGAGACAGAGAAAGAGAGACATATGGAGTTGGAATAAAGAAAAGATAAAAAAAGAATTTAAAATAAAAAAAAAAGATAGAATTGGAAAGATAGATAATGAAAGAGCGCGACATATTTTATTAAACTGTTGTATGCTTTTTTTCTTGTTTCATTATGAATACCTCTATGTTTGCTCCTATCACTAAAAGATATAGATGAGTGTATGTCAAGTCCATGCTTAAATGGAGGGAAGTGTATCGACAAAGACAGTGGATATAACTGTGAATGTGCAGAAGGCTGGCAGGTAACTATGGCAACTTGGATTTGAAAGGTTGTATAGTCAAACAATGCTTGGTTTTATCACTTGAAATATGAAATAATAGATTGTGGTCAAAGTGAAATATAAATAAAAAGAGATAGGAATGGCAAACAGTATTTTCAATTGACTGAAAATTACTGACATAAAAAAGAGTTGAACACAAATTAAAAATGAGAATTTTCAGTATTTGTATGCTTAACTCTTTGAGTCCCAAACAAAGCATCGTATGTGAATCACCCGTCTTATGAATCCCATTCCTAGCCTAATATGCTCTATTACTTATTGTATTAGGTCAGTAAACACTCAAGAAATCTTGCTTATCTAATAGTCTCTTCTACTGTCATATTACTGTTTTGAAAGCAATGCACTGATGAATTTTAATTATGGATATTTCATCACTGGAGTCTCGTACGAACCTTCTTCTGGCACTAAAGTATGTATGTAAGTTGTACCCCACCAGGAAATCACACAAAGGGATAAACACCGGGTACAACAAAGTGCCACAATGTGGATGAGGATCGCCATTTGAGAGGTCCTGAAAACCTAGTTTAGCCGAAAGGCCATAATAATGGCAAAAGCCAGGGTGGGGCTTTGAATAACGAAAAATTACATCCCTCACAGGGACAGTTAGTATTCTAGTACTAAAGGAGTTAACCCAGTGTTATGGTGCAGATATCTGGGTAATGAACACGCAACAAGAAAATCATACTGTGCCTCTGGAGATGTGGGTTTTTTTCCCGATACAAAAAACAACTTTCAAAAACAGAGGTTCTGAAGAGACTAGGAACACATAAAGAAGCTGCTGAAGGAAATAAAACAGAGATAAGTGAAATATTTCGGACATATTAAAAGACATCACTCTTATAAAAAAAATTACATTTGAAGGAAAAGTTGAAGGCAAGAGAGAGACTAGTGGGAGGATAATATCAAAGGCATTTTAAGAAAGGTGGAGACATGCATGCTCTGTGCAAAGTGGTAAGCATCACTTCAAAAGTGCCAAGTAGTTAGCATCCTTTGGATATTTGCTCCAGGTCATGCCGGTATGTTTAATTTGCAGTTCTACTCTATCTATGAATACCCGTACATGTAGCACATTTAATTTTGATACTGCGTTTGTTGTTTTGCTAATACAAGATCATTAACCTAACCATTGTATACTTTCTAGGGTCCTCACTGTCAACTAGATGCTGATGAGTGTCATGGAAGTCCTTGTGTCAATGCCTTGGCCTGCAGAAATATCCGTGGCAGCTTTATCTGTGACTGTCAGCCAGGGTGGACCGGAAAGAGGTGTGATGTCAGTGAGTAAGACTATTATGATCTTCTTCTTCTTCGTGTTCACCAGCTGGAAAGTTCTAGTTGTTCATCCACTTCTGGTCTGCAGTCCTGTTCCAGAACCTGAGTGTTGCAGATGCACTCTGACTTTGAAGAAAGCTCCAAATTATTAGACTCTTACAAAATGCTTTTAGGTAGGCAGTGGGACTATTCTTGTTTTCCCTATAATAAGGTCCCGGAATCCACATGGGATATGATATTCTGAAGGCTGATATCTTATTTTGCTTGAATGATGTGGTAAATGATACTTATATGGCACCAATATTGAAATGCAAGCACATGACTGTAAACACTAAAAGACCACTGTTCAACACAATATTTTTACCGATGCTGTGCTGTCAGGGGTAATGCATTTTTAACTAACTCTGTCCCAAATAGAATACAGTTTTGTGTGTGGTTATTTTGATATTTTAAATCCCCACCTCATCTGTTTAAATCACCAGTGATCACTGGCATCATGAGAGCTAATAGACTGAAATGGTTGGGGCATATTGAAAGAATGTCAGATGACAGAGTAGTAAAAACTGTATACACAAGAGAGATGAATGGTCGTAGAACATGAGGCCGAAGCAGAAGGTGATGGAAAGATAATGCCCATAAAGACCTGCAAACACTTGGTGTCACCAACTAGAAAGAGAAGGCCAATTAGAGAGATGAATGGAGGCGGGTGATACCTACTACTAGCCTACTGTCTTTCTTTTTCTTTTTCAGTGATATCCTAATGTCATTTTAAATTTCTTCATTTCTGTTTCCAGTGACCTTCGGTTTAGTTAAGTAATTCATGTCACCTTTTTTCCATCTGCTGTCCACCAGAGAACTGTCCTTGCCAAAGTGTCCAGAGGCATTCCGCAAAAATGTTCAGGCCATCTCCATCTTCTTCTTTTGATAACATTTGTTAGTGTTGAGAATTTGTTTTCGTCCTAAATTCTTCATGTGCTATCTCTTTTGGTAAAACTATAACAGGATTCTCCTAAGACATTTATTCTGAAAAGACTATAGTTTATGTATAATTCCCAGTTATCATTTTCCAACAATCACTGTTGTAGTCATCATCAGGTGCCTTGCCGACTGGCATGGGCGATCATGCCTCTCCATAATCTGCGATCTCCTGCAGCATGTATCAGTTCGTGTGCCGACACACCTCCATGCCATGCAATAAGACTGTTAAGCATCTTCTCTCGTTGTCTTCCCCTATTCCCTCCTTTCACAGATCTTTCCAGTGGTCACAACATGTTCTATTTTCCCTTTTCTCATAACATGGCCGAAAAATGATGATTGTCTCCTTCTGATGTCTGTGATAAGTTGTCTTCGGGCTCCCGCCTCTTTCAAAACCTCTTGGTTGCTCTTTTTGGCTGTCCAAGGTATTTTAAGCATTCTTCTGTAAAACCACATCTCTGAGGCCTCAATAAATTGTTTAATAGCCTTGTAATAGCCTTACTAAATAAAATGTTTATGTTTTATAATCCTTCAAGTAAATGCACTAGGGCAATGTCACACACCACTACAGAAACAAATTGTGGTGTCCTAAATTAATGACCACAGTTGATCTGATATCTAATAGCAAATTAACAGTTTAAAAACTATGATATGAAGAAATACTCATGAATATTTCGACCAAAGTCATTGTTAATTAACAAAGACAAATGTCCAACATCCCAGAAATGCAGTAAAACCTCGTTAGCATGAACTGGCTTAAGAAGAAAACTTGGTTAACATGAACACAATTGTAGTCCCAGCAATGATATGTTTCTGTTATTAGTCCCTGGTAAACATACATTTTAAAAAAATACAAACTCAATATTTGGTCCTTTGAAATTTGTGTTAACGATAACAAAGTTACGCTGCAATTGAAAACTTTTGTAGAGACAAGTAAACCTCAAGATGATTGCCATAAAATGTTTAAGAGAGAGGGCAGAGACACACACACCCACACACACTCATTGACACATGTGCACACATGCATACACACACACACAAACGCAAAGAGAGAGAGAGAGAGAGAGAGAGAGAGAGAGAGAGAGAGAGAGAGAGAGAGAGAGAGAGAGAGAGAGAGAGAGAGAGAGAGAGAGAGAGAGAGAGAGAGAGAGAGAGAGAGAGAGAGAGAGATGTCATATTATTCCTGATTAATATGTTTCAGACATTGATGACTGTATTGATGTTGAGTGTGCAAATCAAGCATTTTGTGTGGTGAGTTTTTTTTTTTTCAGTGAATTTTATTTGCAAGTTGTTATGATTAAGAATTATTTGATGTGATGATCAGTGTTTGAATAAATGTTTACTTTTTATTTAATATATATATATATATGTGCATATACAAATTCAGCATTACTGTCTGAGTGTATAGAAACAGTTAATTGGTTAGAGTTGCTTCACAAGCTTTTTGAAGACCACTGCATCTGTATAAGTTATATCTTCTCCTTCTTCTTGAGATTCACTGGCTGTAGACTCCGGCAGAAAGTCCTGATTGGTCTTGACCCAGAACTTGAGCTTTGCACGCACGTTCATTTTACCTTGCTATTTATGTACAGAATACAGACAGGATACGATGGTGGCAGCACTAGATCTCGAGAATGCTAATAGTAGAGTAAGATACAACATTTTGATGACCGCACTGAAGGAGAAGGAGGTCAGTCCCTGGTTGGTGAATTGGGTTGCAACTGTCCTGTATTCGTGTCGGGTTGCTTTTCGTCTGGGTACATGGACCTCAGAACCATGCAGTCTAGCCCCAGGACTGCCACAAGGTTCTGCCATCTCGTCTGAGCTCTTTAACGTGTATACGAGCAAGATTTCAAGCCTAGAAACACCAGTAATTCGAAGGATACTGACTTTTGCAAATTATATACTTGCATACATGCAGGGAGCTACAAGCAACAGTAGACAAAGTGACTGACTCGTATACAGAAATTAGGGCTGTCGTCCGCATAGGAAAGGCATCTTTTTATATGGTGTTCTCTAGACAGCAGGATTGTTAGAGTTGAGGTCCCAGGTCTCACAATAGAGAGTAGAAACGTCAACAGAGAGAGCAAACTGAAGTATCTGGGAATCACATTTGACAGGATGCTGTCCTTTAAGGACCATGTGAAGATGGTTGTGACAAGATGCTAAAAAGGACTAAATGCACTAAAGACTATGGCTGCAATCGACATAGAGCAGAGAATGCTTTTCACACTATATCAGCACCTGATCCTTTCAGTGTTTGGTCATGGACTAGGACTGCTTACTGTCTCAAAGGTTCAGATGGATAAACTAGAGCGCATACAGAATGCAGCTAAGCAAGTCATTCTTGGTTGTACCAAAGACACCCCAGTGGCGTGTATGCGATACAACCTTGGTTTGCCGACTGTTGCAGATAGGCTGAAGGTGCTACAGGTGAAGTAATATCTCAGAGTAGCTGCAGATACCCTTTGCATGAAGCTCTGGGTACAGTTAAGGGTCAGCGGTTGATAAGAGGGAAGTCATGGATGGCTCAGGCAGATGACACAATCAGACAAGTTTGCATCTTGGAGAACATTAGGTAAGAAGAGGAGTGGGTCAAAGTGCCAGCTGAACAGTCAGATTTGTGTAGAGTCATAATCACTTTCTGCATACAAATGTCAGATCTGTAAAATGGATGTGCTTGCAAAACTCAAGTTTTGGAACAAGACCAAAGACCAACAGTGGATGAACAACCAGAACTTTAGGCAGTAGTTAACAGCCAGTTTTCTTTGAAGTTGAAATTCATCTGCCCGAGTAGAAGAAACCAACAGTCTGCATACAATTAAGTCAGATCTGTCATATGGATGTTTAGCTAACACTCATTTTCTAAAACAAGACTAAAGTCTAAAGGTGGATCAACAACCAGAATTTAACACCAGAGTTTACAGTCAGTAAACGCAAAGAAGAAGGAAAAGAACAGAGAAGAATACATGCTAACACAGAAAGTAACAAACATCCAGTCAGCGAATAGGCAGGCTGGTCATTCTAGTCTTGGCAAGTTGTTTGGTTTTGGCCATGGTTAGCTGCCCCCCTCCCCACCCCCCCCCCTCCCTCCAGTTTGTGGACTGAAACTTTATAGTGTCATCATCAGATACTGAGCTGAGTGCATAGCATAATACTGTGAGCTGTGAATTTTATTTTCAACTGTGCCCAACATAGTTTGAATTATGAACTGCAGATAAAGAAATAACAGCATCCTGTTGCTATAGAACTGGTGGTGCCTTATGAAATATTGTTTGTGCAACTACTGATTTGTTTCAACTGCTACCCAGACAGCTGCTTCAAGGGACCTCCAATACTAGTAGAGGACTGTTTATATTGGCACTTATGTCGGCTGTTTATGCATTTAATGCATATGTATGATATTGTTTTGTCAAGACTACAGTCTGTTAATTTTTTTTTTCACAACGAAAGATGGGCATCCTGTCTGGTTTATGTTGGCACAGGAATGGAGCAATTATCTGGTTACCTGTTTGTTATGAAGTGGCCAACTAATTGAAAGTTTATGAAGTGACCAACAAATTGAAAGTTTTTCTCATTTTCATTCAGGATCTGATTGGAGACTATTATTGTGCTTGCCTGCCAGGCTACACAGGCCGGCACTGTCTTGAGGAAATAGATGAGTGTGCAAGTCATCCGTGTCAGAATGGAGCCATATGTCATGACAAACTGGCAGCTTATCAGTGCGAGTGTCCAAATGGTTACACAGGGTTGTTTTGCCAGGTAAATTAATTAAGGATGGTAATTAATTTAAAAAACGATGTTAAAATGGATGGCTTATTTAGCTATTAGTACAAGAATTACCATAGTAAAAGTGGTCTTTAGCAAGATCCAAGAGATATAGATAAATAGTTCTGAAAATAGTATGTTATATGCATGTCAAACATGGACAATAAGCAGACTAATTGATAAACATTTATATGCAATGCAGATGTAGTTTTTGAGAAAAATACAAAGACTACCCTGGAATGATTCAAAACAATGTCCTTAAGACAGATGAAAACTGTAAACTGATTAAAAAATTGGAAGTAAAAAGTCAGCATTTTTTGTTAGACATGGTAAGAATGGACAGGAGAACTTGACCACAACTGACAAGATATGTGGGGGAAATAACAAGGGAACGGCAAAGAGATAAATACCTAAATGACTTAGCCATCACTGATGGGCAAGACTAGAACATTGACCTTATCCATGATTCTGGTAACTGTGTGAGATGGAAAAACGTAGCAGCCTATGTTTATTGGCATGACACATGATGATGGTTTTGAAATATAGCTATATCTCATCAGGGGCACATGATAGAATCCGCATATTTTTTTTTCTTCAGTCTATTATCCTGCAAAATAGCCTAGGCCTTCAACCAGCTTGCATCAAGTCATCCTTTATTCATCTTGTTCGCTGTGGCAAAGTGGTCAAGCCATTTGCCTCATGCTCTGAAGGTCATGAGATCACTTCAATAATTTGCTGTTCAGTTCACAAGTGGAATTTTTATATCGATCTCTGGGAATCATCGCTGGAGCCACGGAGTTTGTGCTGTGTGATGCTCTCACAGGCTGCTTGCTATTCAATGGAGAGAGACTGATCCAAATGGGATAAAACCCGATGCAATGAAGTCGAACCTCTCGACTGTAACTTTAACTTTATCCTCTTGTTCATAATTGGTTGCATTTTGTAGATATTGTGTCTTAGGAGATGAGGTAGCCAACCTTAACCTGAGTTGCCTCTTATGACATGCTTGGTTGGATGCAGTGCTACTATTCTTTGCTTCTCCTAAGGCAACACACAAATGACATCAACATAAAAGATGGATCCATTCAACTGAGATATCAACATCCCAACACACAGATGACATGAACATAAAAGATGGATCCATTCAACGGAGATACCAACATCCCAACTCATAAGTGACATCAACATAAAAGATGGATCCATTCAACTGAGATACCAACATCCCAACTCACAAGTGACCTGAACATAAAGATGGATCCATTTAACTGAGATATCAACATCCCAACACACAGATGACATGAACATAAAAGATGGATCCATTCAACTGAGATACCAGCATCCCAACACACAGATGACATGAACGTAAAAGATAGATCCATTCAACTGAAATACCAACATCCCAACACACAAGTGACATCAACATAAAAGATGGATCCATTCAACTGAGATACCAACATCCCAACACACAGATGACATGAACATAAAAGATGGATCCTTTCAACAGAAATACCAACATCCAAACACACAGATGACATAAACATAAAAGATGGATCCTTTCAACAGAAATACCAACATCCAAACACACAGATGACATAAACATAAAAGATGGACCATTTCAACTAAAATACCAGCATCTCATAATCCAATGGTGTTCTTCACTGTGCGACATTTAAGTTTAAAACAAACCAGTCTGTCTTTCTGTCTGCACAACATGGTATTGTCCATGCACACTCAGATGACCTCAGAACTGGGCTCTTTAGTCTATTATTGTATATTCTTTTTCTTGGGTTGTCTCCCTCAATATATTCATGCTATGTATTTCAGGTTTCAAACAATTATATGTGATCTGTGGTTTGTAAATATTCAACAGTTTATTCTATATTAATTAATCTTTGTTTGATAAACATTTAATCCTTGTTCATAGTTCTGTGTTTCAACAATTTACTATGCATGTATATAATATATTCATTGCTCTGATAATTTGAAAAAAGATTCATCTCACATTCACTGTTCTGCGATTTAGATAATTTGTCATCTGCTTATTAATCTGTGTTTCAGATCATTTCTTCTCTGCCCAGTAATCTTTGTTTTAGAAACATTCACTCCATATACATTGCTCTATTATTCAGACAGTTTTTTTCTACCTAGTAATTTGTTTTTAAGATAATTAATTCTTTGGATATTAGTTTGTGTTTCAGAAAAAAATGCATTCTAGATGGAATGTTCTGTGTTTAAAAAAAAAAAAATTGTATTCCGTATACATTGTTCTATGTTTCAGAAAAATACATTCCATATATAATGTTCTGTGTTTCAGACAAATGCTTTACCCTTTTAAATTTTCTGTTTGTATGTTTCAGACTGATGCAGATCCCTGCACCCCAAATCCATGCAAACATGAGTCAACGTGCTTCAACATACAAGGAGATTTTTATTGTCACTGTAACGAAGGTTGGGAGGGGAAAGACTGTTCACATCAGAGACACCACTGTGACTCGGCTTCTTGTGAAGGTACAACAAAGTTTTAGTTCAACACATTCATTATCATTATGTTGAACTCTCAGTACAACAAAGTTTTGTTAAACACATACATTATCATTATGTTGAACTCTCAGTACAACATAGTTTTGTTAAACACATTCATCATCATTATGTTGAAGTCTCAGTACAACAAAGTTTTGTTAAACACATTCATCATCATTATGTTTAAGTCTCAGTACAACAAAGTTTTAGTAAAACACATTCATCATCATTATGTTGAACTCTCAGTACAACAAAGTTTTGTTAAACACATTCATTATCATTATGTTGAAGTCTCAGTACAACAAAGTTTTGTTAAACACATTCATCATCAATATGTTGAAGTCTCAGTACAACAGTTTTAGTAAAACACATTCATCATCATTATGTTGAACTCTCAGTACAACAAAGTTTTGTTAAACACATTCATCATCAATATGTTGAAGTCTCAGTACAACAAAGTTTTGTTAAACACATTCATCATCAATATGTTGAAGTCTCAGTACAACAGTTTTAGTAAAACACATTCATCATCATTATGTTGAACTCTCAGTACAACAAAGTTTTGTTAAACACATCAATCATCATTATGTTGAACTCTCAGTACAACAAAGTTTTGTTAAACACATCCATCATCATTATGTTGAAGTCTCAGTACAACAAAGTTTTAGTAAAAAACATTCATCATCATTTTGTTGAACTCTCAGTGAGGGTCCTAGGATCTCATTTTAGGGGCAAGAAGAATATACCAGCTGCCTTTAACTAGGTGGCTTCATGATTACAGATGCTGTTTCTTTTAAACTTTGAATGAATGACTTGGAAGTTCAGGAGTTGTGATGAGCAAAGTATGACATCCTTAGTTGTTACTAGATCAGTTTTTGATAGGTTAAAATAGAATGCTAAAACAGCTAAAATTTATTGGAAGTTATTAACTCTTTCACTACAATATGAAGTTGAATTAGATATAATTAAAAGTGGGATACTTTTCCTGGTTCCCAAAATGTTAAGAATGGCCAAAGATTTCCTCTCCTTCTGCATTCACACTTAAAAGAGTGGTCAGCATATTGTGTTGTGGTTTACAGCTAGGCTCTGTTACTGCATCTTTTTGTCCCAACACATCAAGCTCTAAGAGACTCTTAATTTGAAATTTTTATGATATGCTTGTTTGTTTGTTTATAGTCTATCTCTTCCAGGACTATGGACTGCAGGATTAAAACCTTAACAATGTGATTCCTACATGTACAAATCCCAGTAAACCTCATTCAGCATTATGGTAATAGTTGTGTCCCTGATGGTTACAACATAACCTGAGGTCTGGACTGAGTGTGAGTAATCTGAAAGTTATATTCTTGCTAGAGAACAGTGGGTATATCCACACCCCCCCCCTCCCCCCACCCCCTTTTCACCACCAAGGGTCCTGGGCTGCACATGGAAATATAATAATAATAACATTAAATCGTCAATAAAATATCTTTTGCTTTCAACTCTTTCCACTACTTAAAGTTTTGTAACACAGTTTTTTTTTTAGAGAGAATAACTCCTATAAAACCCCATGAGTACAGTCACTTCAAAGATGTTCAATATACAATGGAAGTGGCCACTGGCTAAAGCAGATTTTGTTATGTGTGACCAAATGTAAAAAAAAAAAAAAAAATATATATATATACTATGTGATAAATGGGATAAATATAGAAAAGTACATCACAAACTTACTTAAGACTGAAAACCTAATTTTTTTTTGGTTAGTTTTCTCCTTTTGCTCCTAACAGTTGTTTGCTGCTTTAAAAAAAAAAAAAATTCCATTTTTTTAAATAAAAGTGTTCTGAATATATCATAAGGTAAAAGTATTTTTTTTTTTTAAACATAAACTTTATCAGCATTCTTATTTTTAAAATAAAAAATTTTTTTTTTTTTTACATCAGAAGAAATTGTATTAGTTTGTGATGATAGTAAATAAACTCTTTGTTTCCCATTTTTGTGAGTTTCAGTGAGTGCTTGGCTTTAGAGGTTAAACACATTTGGCAGTGAAATTAATATTTGAACCTTGCATCAAACATTAGACTCCAGTTGGTTTATACAAAAATATGCGGCTACCACCATTAATTGATACACCTAAAAATGCTTCCAAATATGTTTCCTCTTACCAGCATCACAATGTCGTTTTGCATTCTGAAATTGTAAAGTACAGAATATATTTTGTTTCATTTCAGTGATTGATAGCTGTACTGTCTCGATCCCATCCAATGTGTCGATTGGTGGATTTCGCCTGATCTCATCTGGTGTTTGTGGGAAACATGGAATGTGCATCAGCCAACCTAATGGAGCATTCTCCTGCGCTTGTGTTCCTGGTTATATGGGGACATACTGTCATCAAAGTAAACATTGTTTGATTGCAACACTTATAAATGTGATTTGTACTTCAGTTTATCATTTGTGCCATTCTTATAAGGAAGGTTGGCTCACTGAATCAGCAACATTCTCTATTGCCAGTTGTACACTCTCTCAGACTTTCTTGATTCTATTCTCTCATTTGTCTCACTGTCTGCCTCTTGCTCAAAGGCTTTCAACATTCACTCTTGGCTCCAATACAATTTTTATAAAGCTGTTGAGACTTTAAACTTAATCAGTGCCAATCAGCTCAATATGCATTTACTGGTTACTGATTTGGTTTTCTAAACACCTTTTAAAAGAAGTTATGAAAAAGTCTTGAAAGAAACTGACTCGAAAAAAAAAAAAGGTACTGATTGTGACAATCTATATTCTTTAGTCATGTCATGAGAAGGTGAAATATGAAGTACATCATGGCGCTGGGGAGAAGAGGCAGAGGGAGGGTGAACGAAAACATAACAGCATGGACAATAAGAAGAAAAAGAAGAAGAAAACACTTTTCCCTCATATAATTATTGTATTAGCACAGTCTATCACATTCGTACACTGACATGTAGAGAACTTGAAATTATATAGTTTTTAAAGTTTGATTTCTTGATTAGTAGCAATCAATTACACCACTACCGGCTTGCTAGGCATGTTGTGTGGCAGGGCGGGATTGAATAGGGCACTAGAACAGAAAATATCCATATGTGAAATGTGCTGCCTCCACAAGGTGGCTAACAACACAAGAAGAGAAAGGGTTACAGATACCAGCATTGGAGAGAATAAGAGCATGTCAGGATTATACTGACAGTCAAAAAAGGAAATAGCTTTTTCGTTAATATACAGCCAGACCAGACTGCATATGTGACTTTTTGCATCATAACATCTGGGAGAAAGGTTAGAGGAAGACCAAGAAAGAGATGGACAAATGTTGTTGCAAAAACCTGCAGAAAGATGAACAAATCCACCACCTAAGCCACCCGAGAAGTGCAAGATAAATACAGAAAAACGACACTGGGCTGCAGCCTAGCATCAGTGAGACAACAAATGAAAAAGAAGAAAAGTTTGTTATTTCTATTTCTAAGGTTATTTCAGTTTTAAAATATGCCAGTAAAAGTTGGAGAGCCACTAAAGACATAAAACAAAAATGGAAGGCCTTCAAAAAACAAATGCCTAAGGAAATTGATGAATATGAAAAGGAATAAATTAAAGAAAGCTGAAATAATAACAGAAGTCTCTGGACAACCATTAGTATCAACAGTTCTAAGACACACAAAAGATTGCAGTCAGACAGAGAAATCAACCACTAATATCAACAGTTATAAGACATACAAAGGACGGCAGTATATTAAGCATATCATTAGACAAAGCAGACAGAGAAATATTTAAACAGGCACTGAAATGGAAAACAAATAGATTGAATAAATTAGGACATCAAAGAGAAAGCCTAGTTTGAATGTTGTTGACAGAAGCAGGAGGAATAGACTGCAAGTGGTATACGATGTATAACGGCATGACAGAATGATTATGTGACTCTTCCTATCTGTTTGTGTTATTTTTTATCTCTCTTGACCTAAACATTTATTAATTTAGATAATACATACATAGGATTAAAAAAGTTAAAATGATACCTGCATGCACGTGAATGAGTTTAGTTAAAAAAAAAGTAAAGATCCCTTTTCACACCTTTAGGCGCAACGGGCATATGGGAAGAGCACCCATTTTTTTACAGACCAATTGGTACTCGGTGAGTAATGTGGTCAGCATTACGCCGGCCATCTTTACTTCCCCAGGACTGCCATCCTGGTACCCATTTGAGGCTGGGTCAACCTGCGATGTCCCATACCACGATAAAAATCCACACAGCCTGCAATGGGTTTTGATTGCGGTACGCTGGATTAGGAGTCGGACTCGCAATGCCTTAGCCATGAACGCTGCTCGTGAATAAGTTAATGTGATCAAATGTTTACCTGTCTCCTTACTTTAAGTAATTTGTTTCATTCCCAGTCCCTACAAATACTTTGCATCTAATAATTCTTATTTCCATGAAATATTCAGTATTCCTCCATGTATCCACATATCTAGTTCCTCATTTCAGCTTTGTTCTGTGTTGCTTCATTGATGTTTGATTGTTGCAGCAATGTCCTCTGTTTTTTTTTTAGGAATGTGTTCTTGTATGGTTAATCATTTAAATGTTCTGTTTTTTCCGAAAGCTTCAGCATAGTTAAATCCATTTCATTAATAAGTTAAACTTTTTCATTTATGGATTAAACCTCTTTTTACAGCTAGGCTGTGATATCTGTAACTTTCAGGCCAACACATTCAATATTAGCAAATTCCTTATTAGTCAGCATTTACAATATGCTTGTGAAGAAGCATTGGGTTGATTCTTTAGTTTTTCCCAAGTGAGAAATATTCCATGCAATCTTTCTGTTTGCTTTTGAGCAAGACAGAAAGTTGTCAACAGTGATATAAATCCTATCCTGATACATGAAAGTGAATCACTGACAGTTGGCTGATTGGTGAAAATATGTGGAAGCAGCAGAGATGTGGTTTTATAGATGAATGATGAGAACATCCTGGACAGATATTAAGCCTAATGAAGATGTCTTGAAATAAACTGACTCATAAAGAGAACTGATTGCCCACATCAAAAGAAGGCAGTCTACATTCTTTGATCATATCATGAGGAGGAAAACGAACTGGAGTACATTGTGAGAGTAGGAAATTTGGAGGGGGAAAGAGGCAGAGGGAGACCGAGAGAAAAGATGCTGGAATATTTGATATAATAGCACGGATGATCATTTGCATCAGAGTTGATTGATAAAAAGTACATAAGACAGAAGGCTGTGGACAGACCTAACTACCAATGCCACAAGTCTTGGACTACAACAAATGGAGACAAGGAATCACACAGTGATGTCAGTTAAACAATATTTAGATGTGAACACTTTTAGTTTAGCTGTGTGAATTGTCAGAGTGAATGCTGATAATGTTCATTTGATTCTGTTGTGAATTTCACAGATATAGATGACTGTGCCAGTAACCCATGTCAGAATTCTGGAACCTGTATCGATGGGGTCAATTCTTATCAGTGCATTTGTGCAGATGGCTGGGAGGGTGCCTTGTGCAATCTGAGTAAGTCAACTGTTTGAACTGTCTTCATTTATGAAAGCACCATGACTGGTCAACAATTAAGTAAGAACAATAAAACAAGTAATTGACAACTCTAATACACATGAAAAAATCTGAAGTGAAAGCAAGAGGTTGCCCTAGGATAATATGGACTGACTTTAAAGAGCTTTTACATCAACATGGAATGGCAATAGCCGTTGCTGCCCATCAAGCAAAGGATCACAAACTGTTCATCCCCACAACACTTAAGAAGTGGTAATTAAGTGGAAATTGATGATGATGATGATGACAATTGACATAGCTCACAGCTGTAAGAAAAGTCAAGTCTGATCACTTTTTGAGAAACCAACCTGCATCTTCAAATAATTCATTCATTGTCCTATTGTGCCGTTATGTGTCACATAGGGCTCACTGTATATTTATCCATTCCATTCTACCCTGTGCAATCACTTCATCATCATGGGTGGAATCCAGTCCAGCACCCTTGGCTTCACTCATCATCATTTGTCTTAGGGTTTCTCTTATACGTCCTTGTTTCCTCAATCCCTCAATTTCCCATTTCAGTACCTGTTTTATGATTCTCTGTTCATCTTTTCTCAGAATTATCCGATGTCCCAGCATCCTCTCTGTTTTACAATTATGGATGCTATTGGTTGCCTAGAAATTTCTCTTATTTCGTTTCTGGGGTTGTATTTGTGTACTCCTTTTCCATCTCCAAAGCTGAGCTTTCTAGTCTTATTTTGTATTACATTGAGCACTTCCAGCTATATAGGTTGTCTGACTGTTCTGCAATTCACCTGATCACAGAACACATTGACCAGTTTTGTTTAGTTATAACTTAGCTCTCCCTACGTTATGTTATCAGTGCCAAACGTGGACAATGAACAAATCATATATGCAAAAAATAACTATGTGTGAAATGTGATGACTCCGAAGAGTCACCAACAATACACAAAGAGACAGAGTCACAAACGTCAGCATTAGAGACAAAGTTGGAACAAGAGCATGCATGGAACATATTGAAAGACAGAGAATGAAGTGGTTTGGCCATTTAGTAAGAATGCAACCGGATCAGATTGCCTATAAGGCCTTTTACAGTAGAACATCGGGAAGAAAGGCCAGAGGAAGACCCAGGAAAAAATGGATAGATGGAGTAGATGAATACGGCCAGAAGATCCAGAAAACTGTCACTCAAATCACGCGAGAGGCACAAAACAAATATTCTAAACCACGACACTGGGCTGCAACCCGGTAAAAGTGAAGAAGACAATAGATAGATAGAATAGCTCACCACTCAAAGGATCAGCAGCAAGAAGCGTGTCGTCTTGCTCATTGCCCCACATAAAGCCTACATCCTGGACAGAAAATGCAGGGCATGTTATGTTATGTTATCCCAATTGAGGTCTTTTCACATTAGTGATTAGTGATTACTGCACCGCTTGGTGGAATACTGATGCATGATAAGGCAGACGTGGTTAGTGCATTGTGGGAGACCGGGTACAGTTAGGAGGAGCAGATGGATCACCACAGTCTGATGAGATTGATGCATGGGGGGAGGTGGGGGGGGGGTGACGAAAGGTTCTGGCAGATGCTCAAGGCTCAGAGGAAAGGCAAGACGGACGTTTAATCAGAATGCTACTGGCACCATTAGTATCGGAACTCTCCGCTGGCTGCTAAAGATGGGAAAGGAGCGCTTATGGAAATGCCCCGAGTGCTGTGATGTCGGTTCTTGAATCAAATCAAATCAAATGATTACTGATTAGAAAGGATTATCATCACAGCACTCCAGACAGATCCATGGGTGCTCCGATCTCCTCCTCAAAAGCTCCACAAATGAGTCTTTGCACATTGGGCATCCTGATGCATGCTCAGGCCTCTGATGCAACAGCCACTCCGTTACCTCTACTGATTGTTCCCATGAGGAGTTGGTTATAGTATCTCCTATCTTTACCTTGAAGATGCCATAGACATGCTTCACCAAGCTCAACTCCTCGATCGTGCAGTCATGTTAGCATCAGAGATTTGCCCTTATCCCCTCAACCTAGTCCGTAGAGCGTAGATGATGTCAGCTGTGTCTATGCTTCTTCTTGTTTGCAATGGTGCCTTACTTGCCAGATGGTCAGCTCTTTCATTACCATGTACTCCTGCATCCCCAGGTGTGTAGATCCAGATGATGGAGGTTAACTGCGACTTTTTAATGCTTTCTACCAATTCGGAGCGTAGATTCCCTGCAGCGATTTTCTGAAGCATGTTCATAGAGTCTTAAATTATTACTGCATATGTGGTCGTTTGATCTGCTACCTATGTGAATGCTCTGGAAGCAGCAGTTATCTCCATGGTTATGTTTGACGTATTTGTCTGGTGAGCTCTGTTGTCCTCTTTTATTGCTTACCCCATCCTTTGTGATAATCTTTTTATGTGCAGTGCCTGTTTTGATAGTTGTGGCTGCATTCTAATGAGATGACCAAATCTTTGATCTTCTGTTTCTCAATGAATCTGATACAATGATGTTGCTCCCACAGTCTCTGATAGTATCATTTCTCACATTTTTTTCGCTGCTTAAGTTGGCAGCTATCTTCAGACACTCATTTCACAGGTGTCAGTTTTACAAAGGTTAGTCTTTGATAATATATTTGTTTGATTTTATTATGATTGTCTGTTTGTAGAAAAACTGTACATTGCTCATGATTGTCTATTTGTAAAATAATCATATATTTGTTTTTATTTTGAAAAATTACTTATTGTGATTTAAATGGTAGTAACATTTTTATACATTTAAATAGTTTGCAACTGTAAATATTTATTTTAATGTTTCAATGTTTTAGTGTTGAGGGATTGGCACAACACCTAACTCTTTAATTTGTTCTCATTCGTATATTCCATTTGTTTGATAATGTTTCAGATATATTCTTATCCGTATGTGCCATCTAGCTAAATAATTTATGAAGTTTATTTTTATCATGTGCGATTTTTTTCCACAGAGTTTGACATCTATTCTTATCCTTATGTGCCATTTGGTTTCATAATATTTGACATTCACTTTTATAATGTTCTAATTGGTTGTTTAACATGTATTCTTATGTTTATGTGCCATTTAGCTTAATAATCTTTGAAGTTTATTTTGATCAGGTGCCATTTGGTTTCACAGTGTTTGACATTTTTTCCTATCCTTATGTGCCATTTGGTTTCATAATCTTTGACATTCACTTTTATAATGTGCCAGTTGGTTGTTTAACATTTTTTCTTAACCTAATGTGCCATTTGATTTCACAATGTTTGACATTATTCTTATTCATCTTTGCCAATTGACTTAATAACATTTGACATTTACTCTTCAGATAAAAATGACTGTGAAATGAATCCTTGTAGGAATGGAGGAGAGTGTATTGACCTCATTGCTGAGTTTCAGTGCAAATGTGTTGATGGCTGGAAAGGCAAAACCTGTTCCATAAGTAAGTGATTTAAACATTATGTCATCTGCACGGATTTCATTTCTGAATGTCTGTATTTAATAACATAAATAACATATAATATTTACAATGTGAAAATAGGGATTGGAATTTTAGAAGGAAATAAAGACTTTTATTTTGTTCTGTTTAATCAGATGAAAGATGTTAAATGATTAGATACTCAAGAGGGGCCTGATTTTCTTGCACATAGTTTTATTTCAAATAGCTAACTCTGTCTTGTGAATCAAACAGCTAAAAAAGGTTTACCAGCTTGCAAAAATTAAAAAACTTTCTTGATGAAAACACTGGAAAGATATACTATATTTCTTACATCCAGACATATATAGACTATTATTCTGCTAATTTTATACACAAAATTGTATCCCCAAAGACTCCATGTTACTTGTGGCCATTGTTTAAATAAAATGAAAGGTATAGCAAATGCCTAAACATATTACATTTCCCTAAACCTAGGATTGACCTATGCAAAACAAGTTTAGTTTGCTCGGCAGCTCAGTTATGGAACTATCTTCCACTACAAATTACTACTTGTCCCTATACAATACCACTTGTCCCTATACAATACCACTTGTCCCTATACAATACCACTTGTCCCTATACAATACCACTTGTTCCTATATATACAAACAGAAACTGTTCAAATAGTATCAGAACACAGATTACATGCCCCATAAAAGATAGAAATATTTTATAAATTTTTCACATTTCCTTAGATTTATTACAACTTCTAACATAGTTTACCGTAGTTAAAAAGTGCATGTTTTGACAATTTTGATCTATCGATAATGTTTACTATTACTTGATGTATGAAAGGAGGGAGACTAGAATGGCAAAATGTTAGTCGGACCTGCATGCCTAATTCTTAACCTTTTGAAAAGAAATTTTGTTCGTTAGTTCATTCATTCACAGAATGAATAGTTGCCTATTAAGAGCTTTTTGTGAGTTCGATATAATTACTCATTAGTCATTCAGTCCTAGATGTATTTTGTTATGATATAATGTTTTTTAAATACAAAATAGATTCACAATGTATAACAATATAATATATTTATTATGCTAAAATGCTTCTCTATTTAATTATTGCAAATGAGTCTATAAATGCTAGTTAATTATAAATACAAACAATTCCTTGAGGCAGAATGCTGAAAATTCTATGGACAGCCAAAACAAATAGTTTATAGGATTTGACAAAGGTTAAAAATTAAAGACAATGTCTCAGACATATAAGAAGGAGAGAGTTGTCATCTTTGACTACAATATGTAAAGAAAAACACTGGAACATGCAGTGACAACTGGAAAGATTTGCAAGAAGAGGCAAAGGAGTACAAAATGAAAAGAATTTTAGCAGCTTTTTTCTTGGCACTGAAAGGTCAACATATGAATATTATATACTGTTTGAAATTACAAGATGTGTAGAACAATGATTGCCTATGCCGGTTGTTAGCAAGCAGCATTTCCTCTCTCCTAATGTGGCCATGTTATATACTGTACCTATATGTATCCTCTTCATGTCACTGTTGACACATAAGGCATTCCCAAATGGTCTGCTTTGCTGCAAGTATGCTGCTTTTCTGTCTATGCTATCCCATGTCATTTTAACTCCTTATTTTCCCTTTTTGCTGTCTTTTTTCAGGTTTCCTTTGGTTACCCATCTCTCATTTACTTTTATCCAATGTTCATTGGAGCTATACCCTTGTCAAAATATCATGAGGCCTGACTGACTTTCTACCTAACCAGGACCTCACACAAGCGATAAACACCCAATGACACAAAGTGCCACCATGTGGATGAGGATCACTGTGGAGAGGTCCCAGAAACCACGTTCAGCCATTAGGCCATATTGCGGCCCCTTGCAAAAGCCAGAGTAGAACTTCAAATAACGAAAACTTTAATCCTAAAAAGGACGGCAAGATAGCAATTAAAGAGGAGACATTCTGCAAACATTATCTTATATATAGCACTTGAATAATATTTAATATCTGTTATCTTATTTCTCTTTAATGATTTTTGTTATAATTATTATATAAAATAAACACCATATATTTGTTTAGAAAACAGCCACTGTGAAACCATGACCTGTCTGAATGGTGGGACATGTGTTGATCTTGGGGATACATTTTCCTGCAGGTGTATGGATGGCTGGAAAGGAACATTCTGTCAGTCTCGTAAGTTATGTCCTTAGACTGCCCAGCATTCCTTTTACTGTTCAAAAATGTTTTAATTGTACATTATTTATAACAGCTGCGGCTAGATGCTCGCTGCGGATTGGAAGGTCTTGGGTTCGCTCCTTGGCAGAGCCTGACTTTTTTCAAAAATGACCTTGGCTCCCAGGTCAACCCAGCTTTGAGTGGGTACCAGGTGCAGTCCCGGGAAGTAGAGGCAGCCGGCGTGATGCTGACCACATTCCCCATCTTGTGCTGATTGGTCTATAAAAAAATAGGTCTAGCCCTATATGCCCTATACGCTTAAAGATGTGGAAAAGGGTCCTTTACTTTACTTTTACTTATTTATAAGAGCTGCTCCTGGTTGGGATAGTTGTCTAGGTTCAGTCTCTAGAAGTGGCAGGATTTTTAAAATTCTGACTGGCTATTCTCCCTAGGAAAATATGGATTCGTGACTTTAAAGACCTTTTACATTGACACAGAATGACCATAGCCATTGCTACTCATCAAGCAATGAATCAAAAACTGTTCCTTTCCACGACACTCAATGGCAGAAGTTGAAACTGATGATGATGATAATGGTAGTTCAGTTATCAGCCAAGTAAAGGACCAGTTTTACCCAGTGGTGCATCAGACATGTGTGCTAAACCCGTTTTTGGAAAGACAAATCAGCATACACTGGGTAATATCATCATCATCATACTGGCTGTCTTTACTTCCCAGAACATTACCTTGTACTCAGTTTAGACTGGCTGGACACAGACATCCTACATGATCTGAGCATTGAGGAGAATTGGCTCACCAACAGCATTCTGTCCTGAAAGTTAAGGAATTGTTGCCATGTTAAATTTCATACTGGCCAGGAGAGAACAGTAATGGAGGGAGGAGTTTCCGAAAAACATGGCAGCAGCAGCCATTCAGGAAGGTGGATACAAGACATTGAAGATGCATTGGCTGTGAAGGCATGTAGAGCTGGAGAGATTTTCATCTATGGCATGGTGAGAACGACGTTCCAAAAAGGAACTACTGTTTAATGATGGACATAGGAGCCCAAGTCAGTTGCGGAGAGAGAAAAAAAGTTCACTTTGATGCTGATTTTAATGTGAAACCTTTGGGCCCAGCAGATGACCATTTAGCCACTATGCTATCACAGCTTCTGTTATCAAGTCAGCCTCATTAAGTACTAGATAATTTACAGTTTTCTGGAAATTGTCTGAGATGGAAAGGCAAAGGAAGAGAACTGGCTGCTCTCCATGTTGTTTTAGCCCTTAAATGTTTAGCAGTTTTGCATTACAGGATATCTAATGACAAGTTTGAGTAGTTGAGTTTTATGTCAGCGTTGTAAAAAGATATAAAGCAAACAGGAAGCAGAACTAGTCAGCTTTACATTATCACAAAACACATGACGCGTGAATGTAGTGGCTAGAGAAAAAGTTAGTTCCATAACCTTTACAGGACATTGCAGAACCAATCCCAGCATTTTTGAGCTGTTGTTATTTGTGTTGGCCCAATTTATGTCCAGCAGTTTGCCATTGCTTTCTTAATGGTCGGCTTCTCAATATCACTGTCAAAACCAATGCAAGGCCTGCAGTTAGGATCGAACCCGGCACCCCAGCATTATGAAGCGTTGTTTGCAACACCTAAGGCACAGACACTGACGTAGCTAGAGTGCCTTCATTATCATATACATTAGTTTACAATACCACAAATACAAACAATATTTTTAAAAAAAAATTTAATTACATTGCTGTCCACTCAGTAGAATAAAACACACTTGTAGGATGCAGACAAAAATATTGGCCTGATAACAAGGGCTGTGACTCAAATATATTAGATAAAACTGTGTTAAGTGTTTAGTCCCCTAGACGAATTTGCACCCATGAGATGGATGTGGTGGTTCTTGAGAGACTTACAGATTCTGTCACATTAGTATCTAGATTTGATGACCTTAACCTCCATGTTGGTGATCTTGAGAATCAAAGTGCATTTTATGAAGAAAGAAAAAGGCAGGTTGACTGGAGATGACATGATAAGAAGCACAGTCATACATTTCCCATTGTTTTCCCATGTTCAGCCACTCAGAAGCCATGTGATTCATCACCATGTCAGAAACGAGGTACTTGTGTGAACAGTGGGGACAGCTTCACCTGCATTTGTGATGACGGGTTTGAAGGACCCACTTGTGGTATCAACATTAACAATTGTAACCCATTTCCCTGGTAAGATTTCTTTGTGCTTGCATGTAATATATGAAAACCATAGATTATATCCAAGCTGTCCCCCTTGTCGGTTGCAATTTTTTGTTTTTTGAAGCCCCACCTTGACTTTTGCCAGGGGCCCTGAATATAGCTGGGCCACAATTGTGGCCATAATGGCTGAAAGGGGTTTCTGGGACCTCTCAATTGTTGATCCTCATCTGCATGGTGGCACTGTGTGTCACCGGGTGTTTATCACTTGTGTGATGTCCTAGTGGGGTACAACAAGCAAGCAAGCAAACCATAGAAGAATAGGAAGTCAATATAGAACTGATGTATCAGCCACGAGATACTTTGAAAGATACTGAAGATGGGATCCTATTGCTTATTTGCTTGTCTGATAATATGATCGGTTGATTAAGATACCAACAAAACAGGACAGCTGCGTTACTTCATGTGCTCAAGCAAACTTAAAGGCAGGGGATCAATAGGATGACAATAATGAAAGTGGGAAGATAGCATCAGGAGATGGATGAACAGAACTGAGAATGCACAATTTGTGAGCCTTGATATGTGTTCATAGATACTGGTACTTGTGGCCTGGGATATTCCATCTATCCATCAACTGCATGTTTGACCTAGCACTGCTTTCATTATGTCAAGGCTCTCTGTGGTGCACTAACTGGAGCTTAGTCTAGACACATGTCCAGAGTACTGTATCTATTGATTCTTGATGTAGTTTAGCACTGGTTCTGTTCCAGTTTCTTTCTTCATATCATAATTTCTGATCATGTCTCTTCTAGTTAAGTTCAGAATTCATCACATAAATTTAATTTCTTTGTTTTGATTTCTTGTTTTCTTTTTTTGTTGTTAATGTCCACGTTTGGCACTGGTAACCTAGTGTTGATGAAAATATTGTTATGAATAGCAGTACACTTTTGGTGTCAATTGGTGCATTTTTGTTCTGCAAATATTGATGTCATCTGCCTGTTTGATTTAATTTGCTTTATTTGACTATGTTTTACATCTGCGTTTTAGCTCTGCCTCCATTTTCGATAAGTTGATAGTATGCTCCCTAGATACCTTTAGTTTGCTTCAGTTGCTAGTTTCCTGAGCATATCTTGATTGGTTGTTCTATTCTTGCAATGGTCTTAACATTTTATTTTTATTTTTTCAGTTAATTGTTTTGGGCTTTTGCTGCTATCTAAAGATTATCCAGGTATTTCTACAGGGCTTTCTCTGCAATTGCCATGAGGATTTGGTTGCCTGTTAATAAAAAAAATGTTCATTGCACTTATTGTCCTCATTAATTTCTAATGCTTCACCGAAATGATCTATAAATGTGTTAAAAAACATGTTATGGTCAAATGCTAATATGCAAAGAATGAATAATATATTAAGTAAAAATACAAAAGTATGCAAGACAAATTGAATCGTTCAAATTACATAAACATTTGACACAAACACACACACACCTATACACACATACACATACACACAAACATATATGCTTAAACAGAGGCTGTTACACTGCCACAACTTATACAGAGACATACAGACAGGGTCCACATAGGCATTACATACATTACACACTGACAAACATCACATTTCCTTACACACACACAAAGAGGTGCACTTACAGACACACACACACACCCACACACGCCCACACACAGACACAGTACACTTATAGACACAACACACATGCAGAGGTGCACTTACAGACACACTTAACACACACACACGCATACACAAACAGACACAACACACTCATAGACACAACACACACACAATCACACACACACACAGAATACACACAGACACGATAGAGAGAAACATAAAATACACACAGGCACAATACTGAGAGACACAACTTATAGATAGACACACACACACTCACAAGCACGCAGATCCACAGCATACAGCCTTTATTGTGTACATGATATATACTACACTGTGACAAAAAAAAACAACTTTTTTTTCCCTTTGATCATGAGATGTACATCAAAGGGAGAAATTGCAATAGGTTTCCACTGTTTAAAGAATATTAAAGCCCGGCTCTCTAGTGTAGTTGGCTAAACCGGATTGCGCGGTGACTGGGTGATGAACTCCTTGTAGTCCGGGTTCACTCCCGGGGGTAAGCAGAAAAGCCATATTTTTCCCAGATTTACGGTATTTATCATGGAATCAAGGCCGAAAGGTTGCGATATCCATAATACCGAGCCTAAGGGTTAACAACTCATGGCTTCTGGATACTAAAACAAATAAACAAAGAATATTAAAGTGCTACAGGACATATCTTCTTGTATCAGATTTTATCCCATACGACCCTGTCTGTTTCTTAATACTAACACATAAAAAAAAGTATATGGCTTTTCAACCAACCAAGCTAAAAATGGTTATCAAAAATAATCTGGAAAGACAAAAGGCAGCCAGTATCTTCTTCTTTACAGCATTTACCAACTGTAAACTATGGTTGAACCTTCTGGTTATTCATCCATTTCTGGACTTTGGTCTTGTTTCAGAACTTAAGTATTGCATGCACATCGATTTTACAGATGTTGCTTATTTGTATGCAGACTGTTGCTTCCTCACCTCTCAGTCAGATGCACTCTGATTTTGAAGGTAGCACACCCGTTAGTAACTTTTCCAGACATGTTGGTTTGGGAGCCATGGATCTATTACTTCTCTCCCTTCTTCTCTTCCTTCTAACCCAAACAGGGAAATGGCTAACTAGTGCATGGAGCAGCCCTATGTGCCCAGTATCCATCGTAGCATGGAAACATAAACTTTGTTGTTTGTTTTTGTTTCCCCAAATGGTGTACACAGATTCACACTTACAAATTAATGTTTATTTTACTGAGAGTAGCGAGCACCACTAGAACTAAACCAGCCATGCACTCAGAATGGAAAAGACCAGACTCTCCCTCAAGCCCTCATATGGACATTGAAAGGGAAACAAAAATGGGGAAGACCAGGAGAGACCCTGCGTACAACCATCATCAAGTAAGGTTAAACCATGGGGCTAATGAACATCCAAGACCTAAAACAAGTGGCAATGAACCGTCAAACATGGAGAGCTATGACCTCTGCCCTATGTGCCGCCCTAGGCTCAGAGGAAATGTTAACTAACTAATTAACTGAGAGCAACCTATTTTATTTCTCAGCTACAATGGTGGGACATGCATGGATGGTGATAACTGGTATGTCTGTGATTGTGCTCAAGGCTTCTCAGGACCAGACTGCAGAATTAGTGAGTTGCTTTCAAGGTCACTGTTTTAGTACCAGTCAACTTACCATAATATTTCTTGGTGTTTCCAAAAATAATATAATGTTCTTGCTGTTTTCTACCCCAGATTATTGTTAGATTAACCCTTTGTATATGAATTATTAGTTTAAACTAGCTAAGGAAGGTACAAATAAAGAACAACCTGACCTACCAGTCTCTTATCAACAGAAGAAGAGAATAATCAAATCAATCAGAGAGCCACCAAAAGCGGCACAAGACGATTACCATTTTATGGACAGACCAGAGCAAGTTTTTATTCTAGGCCTTAGAACAGGACACAGTCAACACAGTCAACTGCCACGTGTACACACACTTTAAAATTGACGAATCAGCCAAGAGCACATGTGGATTGGCACCTGAGACAACAGATCATGTCCTCCAAGACTTCCCAAATACAACATATCAAGGCAAAACCTTTGGCTAAGAGAAACACTGGTGCAAGTCAAACTTTATGGGTCACTGATTGAATTACAAAAGACAGTGAAGTTCATACTAGAGACAACATTGCAGATATAGATAATCTATTTCAAGCGAACAAAAGAAGAAGAAGAAAAAGAATTATTAGTTTAACTTTTTCTATCCATAGATGCATCCTTCAAACTCAAGTATGTATTTCGACTAAGCTTAACTCCTTGAAAGATGATGAGTTACATGAATATCTTTTAAAATTTCTACTCAACTCCACAACTTTCTATTGAAGTAGTCTTTCAGTGTATGGATTCTCTCTCTGTTCTACTGCACAATCTATTTGTTTCCAGAAAGCCTTCACCAAGTTTGTTTTATCATAAAGTGTAGAAGAAGAAGAATTGAACAACCACAAATCTCCCTCCAGTTCCACTATTTCTTTGGTGTCCATGATTTCCAGGGGTGTCTGTACAGGCAATAGTGTTGTTTATACTTCATCTCTGCACTGCTATAGAGTCAGAAACACCAAGATAACATTAGCTAAGATGGGCAGGACTTTGTTTTCTGTGACCTCACTATATTATGGTTTTAAGGATCTACTGTATATATGATATACAGATGTGTGCAGGTAAGACATGAATGGTTGAGGTATTGAGGTGGATTTATGGGAACAAGGATGTCATGGACTGTGTTGCATGGAAAGGAGAAAAAAGAAGAATAATGATAAATTAGAAAATGACTGCAGATAGATTACGAATGCACACACATACACACACTCCCACATATGCGTATGTGTATTTATATGTTTAAAACAAAAAATGACTGTATTTTAAATGTATATTTTATTTAATGTACCAGACATCAATGAATGTGCTTCTAATCCGTGCACATATGGCAGCACTTGCATAGACGGCATTGCTTCCTTTCGATGTATATGTCCTCCAGGAAGAACAGGGTCACTGTGTGAGGCAGGTGAGTTTCAAATGAATACATTGTCCATTATTTTATTCTTAAGTGTAACTACTTTGTGTGGATTTGGAGTCTCCGTGACTAGGTGGTTTTCCCTGTGTCCCGAAGGCTGTGGGTTTATTTCATTGACTACATATTTGAATTTGCAAATTTATTTATTTCCCAGGTGCAACTTTTTAAAGAGATCCCTTTGTTTCCAATACTTCACTTTTCCCAAAAGATCTGGGATTTATATGATGCCTTGGGTTCAGATTTTTGGAATCTTAAATTAAAAAAAAATTAAAAAAATATATGCTTATATAAAAGTTGGTAATGTTTGTTTCGTAACTATAAAATTTGTACTTTTTATAAATCTTATGTATTGCTTGTGCATTGCTATAGATTTTTGGTCAGCTAAGCTTGAGTTCTGATTAACATCCCGTTGGCAGCCCTGATTAATGTGGGTGAGCTTTTTGCAACACTCTTGGAAGGCAGCTAGCCATAGTGGGGAGATATGCCATTTGGTTCAAAACCCGGCGCCCTCTCAAATTTCAAAAGAAAAGCTTTTGTCATTTTACTTACTCTACCTTTAATCTCCTTTTTGAAGATGTGTCCTGAAATTCCCACTAACTAATGGGTCTCCTCTACTTTTGACCTAGTCCCGTTTTAATAAACAGGTCAAACTAGTTGAGTCAAATTTTTTTTCCCAACACTATTCACTATTGTTATAAAACTGGTAGACAAAATATAACAATGCAATCTACATACATAAAATTATTGTACATAACGTTAGCAATTCATAATATATGTACTTTAGTGCATCAATTCTGGCAAGAGTTAATATTTTTGGGTCAACAATTTTAATTGTCTATTTTGCCCATTTTTTTCTATTGTCTCTTTTGCACATGATTTGCAATGTCTTGTTTGTTCATCCTTTTATTGGCTCTTTTGTCCAAGTTTTTCTAATACTACTTCTAATATCTCCTTCTTCCTATTTTTTAATATCTCTTTTGCCAATATCTTCTTGAATCTCTTTTGTGCAAAAACTTGAAAAAGAGACCCTAATGGGCGGTAATAATAAATAATAATTCTTTAAAATTTAGCATTTTGTGAGGTTAGCGTTAGAGCTAAGGCTTGGGCCAACCCTAACCCTAACCCAAACTCTAACAATAACAGTCACCTAAAGCAGTATTCAATATTCTTCTTCTTTTTATTCAGCATTCCGAGCCCTTGGGGTTCATTGCTGAAGTTATCACCCACCTCCATTCATCTCTCTGGTTGGCCTTCTCCTTCCATTTTGTGACACCAAGTGTTTGCAGGTCTGTCATGACATTATCTCTCCATTTCTTCTTGGTCTGCCTCGTGGTACATGACCATTCTTCTTCCTTTTGTATACAGTTTAAACTTCTCTGCCATCTGACATTCTTTCAATATGCCCCAACCATTTTAGTCTATTAGTTCTCATCATGCCAGTGATCAAAGGTGATTTAAACCACTGTATTGAATATTACAGAATTTATTGTGTGAACATACACAAACAATGGATTGTGTCCCTTACAGTTGCTGTTTGAAGTATTGCCTGTCATTTTCTTCTTGGTCAGCCTCATGGTCTACCTTTTTTAAAGGTCTTTTTTGTCTTATCTTTTCCAATGCTTCTGATGTCCACCAATTTCAGTGTCTAGTTTGTCCATATTTGGAAATGTCTAATAAAAACTACTATAAAAATACTAATTATACTAATTTTACCATCCTTTCAGTAATTGGTCAGCTGCCAACACCAAAATCATGCGAACATGGCCGTCGCATATTCTCAGATGGAACAACCTGGGAACATGACTGCAATGCGTGTAGGTGTGACAATGGAGAAGTCAAGTGCTCAAAGGTATTCTTACACTTTTACCTCATTTTATTTATACAGACATCTGGTCTTCTTGTGCAAGTATTCTACAAAAAAGTAATTACTGAAATTAGGGATTTGATAAAAACATTATTACTGTGCTATAGATCTTCTTCTTCGTCCTCCTCTTCATTTTCTTCATCTTTTTCTTCTGTCTTCTTCTTCTTTTTCTTCTTCTGTGCATCCTTCTTCGTCTTCTTTCTTCTTTTCTTTTTCTTCTTCTTTTTTTCCTCTTCGCATCATCACTCATCATCTCTTTCTTTTTCTTCTTCTTCTTCTCCTCCCCCCTCCTCCTTCTTCTTCTTTTTCTTCTTCTCCTCCTCCCCCTCCTCCTCCTTCTTCTTCATCATCATCATCTTCTTCTTCTTCTTCTTCTTCTTCTTCTTCTTCTTCTTCTTCTTCTTCTTCTTCTTCTTCTTCTTCTTCTTCTTCTTCTTCTTCTTCTTCTTCTTCTTCTTTTTCTTCTTCTTCTTCTTCTTCTTCTGCTTCTTCTTCTTCTGCTTATTAATTGTTTGGCTTTGAAGGGCAGCTGGCGTGTTGTTGTTTACAATAAGGTTGCCATACCTGTGCCTTTTTTTGCTCAACACATCCATTTTCAGCAAAACAATAATTAATTGCCATTCCAAAAAACAAAAAGTTTGATTTGTGTTTGTTGTTGTTGTTTCTTTTTTGTTTGCTAGTATATGCCACTAGAAGTCACCATTTAATGGATGATAGGTAGTCGAGCTAGAGCATGCTTGGTTGCCTGGCATTCTGTGATGTTGTGAAGTCTTCAGCTGTCAGTGACTTCTGTAGTGTATCTTCTTCTTGGTCCCTCTCTGCCCCATGGTGTTTCCATTTTCATGCTGAATTCTGCAGCTGCTTGCATCATTTGATTCATTCTCACCCCTTGGCCAACTTCCCAATGAATTTAACTACATTTAATGATCTTTAATTTACTTTAAAAGATTTTTGCATTCACGCACTGAGGTCATTGCTGGTGTTTTGAAGTGCTTGCACAGCACTGACATCCTGAATTGTGGTTTGAAGGACACCATACCATACAAAGCATACATGGAAAGAGAAGAAGGATGTAGAGCACGAGGTAGACCAAGAACAAGATGGAAGGATAACATCAAAGAAACTCTACAACAGCTCGATGTGCCTATGGTCGAGGCGTCCAGAAGAGCTAGAAACAGAACCTTATATCTCCCTCGACACCCACAGCGGTAAAAGAGGAAGTGAAGAAGAAGAAGAAGAAGAAGAATCACCAATGAATAGTTTAAAGCTACAATTTGGATGGTCTTTAACAGTTTCAGTGCATGAAAGTTTTTCAGCAAATGTCTAAAAAAGAAATAACCAGTACAAAAACCAGTGAAAAAAAAAAAAAGGAAGAAGAGCATTGTTTAAAAAAAAAAAGTTAAAATACAATGGAAGTTGCCAGTGAGAATGCCAGATTTGTTTAGTATGACCTGACTAAATGTAAAATGTACATGACCACATTATATGATGGCTGGGACTATTTTTATCTTATAAATTTATTGTATATTATCTTTTATTTCAGATGTGGTGTGGTCCAAAGAATTGTTTTACTCACCCAAATATTACTACGCCAGTCTTCCAGTGTGAGAATCACCAAACTTGTGTGGTACAGACTCACATAACATGCCTGACTCCGCCCTGTTTACCTTTTGGGGAGTGCCGGGATATTGAGACTGTCAAAGACATACCGAACCCAGGCTCCGAGTGGACATGCATTCCAAATCACGCTCATCTAGGCATCAACTGTGCCAAAATCATACTTATTTTTGATAAATCAAAAATGCCATTGGTATGTTTTCCTTTTGAGTTTTGTTTGTAAGACATATATTCTATAGAATACCCCGTCCCCTCTTCCTTTCTTCTTCTTCTTGCTCTTCTTCGTCTTATTCTTCTTCTTTCTTATCCTCATTTCATCATCATCATCATCTTTTTTCTCTTCTTTTTCTTCTTCTTTTTCTGTTTGTCTTTCTCCTCATCCTCATTTCTTCTTCTTCTTCTCATTCTTTTTCTGCTTCTTCTTCTTCATCTTCCTCTTTGTCTTTCTCCTTATCATCACCTCTTCTTCTTCTTCTTCTTCTTCTTCTTCTTCTTCTTCTTCTTCTTCTATTTCTTCTTCTGTCTTTGTCTTTCAAAAAAGGTGGTTAGCATGTCATATTGTGGTTTACAGCTGGACTGCAGCACTAACAACTTTCAGCCAACAATATGATTTCATCAAATCTGTAAAGAGTTGTCTTTTACTTTTTTAGGGGGAGTATGGATTGTCAGCGAGTCTACCCCCCTTTTCCTTTTTCCCTCCCTCATAAAACTGAGGCCCTGAAACAGCTTATTTGGAATTTGGAATAGTCCTAGAAACATCAGCATACCATGGTTTTAAAATATTGTCCATGCAAAACAGTTCAGTCAACTCACGGCAATCTCTGATGTGGTGAATTTCTGTTGTGAAAACAACTTGTTTATTCTAGCAATTTTTCTTGCCTGAACCCATATCTGGATAAGATGAATTTCTAATAAGAAGAACCATTTCTTTGGTCCCCAAGGAGTTCTTATCAAATCTGCACTGTATAACTTTGTCACTTGAAATGAAAAAGAGAGCTGATATGAACTTAAGAAAATCAATAATATGACAAACAACAGTTTAAAAAAAAAATTAAGTAAAATAAAAATTAAAGAACCATTTTCACTCCTTTGGTACATCAGGCACATAGTGCTAGATCTGTATTTTTACCCCTCCCCCCCCCCCCTCCCCCAAAGGTATCACCTATACCTTTTTTTTAAAGACTGGGTGGACCTTGGAGTCAGGTCAGTTTTAAAAATACAGTAGCAATATATTTTAACCCACACCCTTCTGATATGCAGGTGAGCATCTAGCTGCTATTCAACCATGGCTCCCTTCTTTTTCTTCTGATTTATTTTTCAGTGTTCCACTTTAATTATAAAAAAGAGTGCTAAAATGTTATAAAGACCTGTTCTGCTATATGGCAGCGAATATTGGAATGTCAATGAACAAATTAAGAAGAATTTGGAAGCAACAGAGATGTGGTTTCTGAGACAAATATTACGACTACCTTGGACGGTCTGAGTAAATAACAACGATTGTTTAAAAGAAGCTGATGAAAGTAGATCTCTATATAGAACAATAAGAAGGAGACAAACATCTTTCTTTGCCATGTAATGAGAAAAGAGGTTTTGAAAAACATTGTGACAACTGGAAAGATCGGTGGAAGGAGGTGTAGAAGCAGACCAAGATAGATGATGCTCGATGGGCTGAAATGATAACATGGAGGGATATCATCAAGAGAACTGTTCCAGGTAACTAGGGATCGTGATCTGTGGAGATGTGACTACGCCAGTTGGACGGGCATATGATGATGATGACTTTAATTTAATTTTTACAGGCAGTTATTTTTAATTATTATTATTTACTCCTGCTGTGCAAAGCATTTGCAACTTTGGTTCAACTCACTTTTTTAGGCTCATTTAGGTCAGCTCTGCCCATTTACACAATACACAAGTTTTCATTCATACCTGGTGAGGCCAGTCAACCTCTGTCAAGGTTAGAGGGGTGTTGCCATGCCTGTGCCCGATGCGTGGGAAATTATGAGACGCATTTATGACTTCAAAACATCGAGAACTCACTCTCCTGTCACAAGAGTTCTATATTAGACCCTAACAGAAAAATTTAAACGCATGAACAACAACCCCATGCACAGAATAGCAAATAACTTAACCAAAAAACTGACTGAAAAGACAAAGCTTTCACCATCTATCAAAATTGTACTACACAAAAAAACAGTGACATCCTTTCTAAAGATCCTTCAACATGGGAAATGATCCAGGTATACAGCGTAGACCTACAGCCTTAATATACAGTCACAACAACAATTTCTGGTATAGACAGAAAGGCTAAAGAATGTGACCTAGTACTGTGTGCAAAGACCCCTGAATATGTCTACAACTGTTATCCAAAACCCGAATGAGCTGGATCAGTCACCATGCTGCAAAATGAGACCACAGTAGAAACATCCTGCGCCTCCAGAAGATTCTCAACAAACTTCAGAGCAGAGCAGCAAGCAATTATTGATTCAGTCAAAGTGTTAGAGAAAAGAAAAATTAAAAACAGCAAAATTTTTTTGCTTTGTGACTGCATGTCAGTCCTCGAGGCGACTCACAGGGATCCAGGAGACAGCATGGAGTGAGAACTGACCCGTCAGCTAAACAGACTCACAGAAAACAATCGAATCGTTCTCCAGTGGATCCCGGCTCACTGCGGCATACTAGTAAATGAGTAGCAGACAGACTTGCCAAAATGGAACAAAGGAGAAACAACACGCCCATTCATTGTCATTACCAGAAATCAGAACACTTATCAAAGGAAAATACAAGGGATATATGAGAGAACAAACTAACAGCAAACATCCATAAGACTCCATCAGCAGACTCAACAGAAAGCAACATACAAACATTTTCTGTCTACGAACAGGACACTGCAGGCTCAACTACCACATGCATAAAATAAAGATTGTACAGTGCCCTCAGTGTGCCTGTCAAACAGGACCCCAAACACCTCAGCACATTCTGCAGACCTGCCCACTCTACCTGCTTCTTCGAAAAGACACCTGGCCTCAAGAGCAAAATGTGCAGAGCAAGCTATGGGGAACCATGCAGGAGCTGCAGCTGACATGCAAGTTCATAGAGGCAACCAACCTGATGGTCTGATCTGAGCATATGAAACCGAACGCAAAGAAGAAGAAAGAAGAAAAAGATATTAGACCAAGTCAGTGACCCCATACCATCATTCGCCGCACACTGAACATAGATCCCACGAGACAATGCATTCTGCGTGCCGGGGTTTCAGACTTCTTAACATTTTGAGGTGGCCCGCACAACGCTGTGTTGCTGCAGACACTGAACTCTACCCTCTGCAATAAACTCTTTTCCTATGCAAAATCCTAGACGGCTATCATTTACCCACCAAAAAACACTAATACTATATACCTCAAAACGTTTTATGTTCCGCAACCTTTGCTTCCAAAATCAAACCTCTATTTCCTCCAGCCAGAGATCTTATGCCCCATAAAATAGGGTCCCAGAACCCAAACAGGGAGTTGTATATCATTGCAATATTTCTATGCCTTTAATTATCAGTGTGTTTGTTTCCAGGGTATCACTGTAGAAAGTATCTGTAACAGTCTAAGGCAGCTTCCACAGTTAAAAGGGATGGTGAATGAAGAGATTCTGTATGTCATGTGTGCAATCAAACCACAGGAGCATGACACAATAGAAATTACTCTAGTAAGTTACTGTTTCTGCTATAGTAAGTTTTTTGTCTCTACTATAATAAGTTGGTGTTTCTTCTCTAGTAAGCTGATGTCTCTACTGTGGTAAGTTTTTGTCTCTACTCTAGTAAGTTGGTGTTCCTACTTTGGTAAGTTGGTGTTTGTACATGATAAACTGAATAGCTTGACAACGCAGAAGCTACTACAGTAAGATATGTCTACATGGTAAACTTAATAGCATTTCATGGTTGAATTTACTCTGAAGTTTAAAAAAAATAAGTTAAGGTTCTTTTTTCACACCTTCAGGCGTATAGGGCATATAGGGCTAGGCCTATACTTTTATAGGCCAATCGGCACAAGATAGGTGATGTGGTCAGCATCACCCCGGCCACCTTTACTTCCTGGGACTGCAAAAACTATGTACACAAGGGAACTGAATAGTCGTAGACCAAGAGGAAGACCAAGAAGAGGGCGAGATAATGTCCAGACAGACCTGCAAACACTTGGTGTCACCAACTGGAAAGAGAAGGCCAACCAAAGAGATGAATGGAGGCGGGTGATATCTGCAGCAATGAAACTCAAGGGCTCAGAATGCTGAAGAAAGCCAACCAGAGAAATGAATAGAGACTAGTGATATCTGCAGCAATGAACCTCAAGGGCTCAGAATGCTGAAGAAGGCCAACCAGAGAGATGAATGGAGGCGGGTGATATCTGCAGCAATGAAACTCAAGGGCTCAGAATGCTGAAGAAGGCCAACCAGAGAGATGAATGGAGGCAGGTTATATCTGCAGCAATGAACCTCAAGGGCTCAGAATGCTGAAAAAGGCCAACTAGAGAAATTAGGCAGGTGATATCTGCAGCAATGAACCTCAAGGGCTCAGAATGCTGAAGAAAACCAACCAGAGAGGTGAATGGATGCGGGTGATATCTGCAGCAATGAACCTCAAGGGCTCAGAATGCTGAAGAAGGCCAACCAGAGAGATGAATGGAGGCGGGTGATATCTGTAGCAATAAACCTCAAGGGCTCAGAATGCTGAAGAAGGCCAACCAGAGAGATGAATGGAGGCGGGTGATATCTGCAGCAATGAACCAACCTCAAGAGATCAGAATGCTTAAGAAGAAGAGACATATGACTGCAGTTGGAGTTGGGAAATTGCTTTTGATTGTGAAAATATCAAAGACAAAATAACTGTGAAAGAAAAGAAACTAATTGTTTATTTTATAATGCCACATTATAGCAGAACTGACACTTTATAACCATTCTTCAGTATTTGCAATCAACATCATCATCATCATTATCACTCATCATCATCATCATTATTGTCACCACCATTATCATCATCACCATTATCATAATCATTATCATCCACATCATCATTATCATCATCATCATTATCATCATTATCATCATCATCATTATCATCATCATCATGATAATCATCCTCATTATCATCATCATCATCATTATCATCATCATTAAAATTATCATCATGATACTTCTGCCAGGCATCAAAGTCTCTTCTTCTATTCTGTTCTTTCTCTTCAACTGTTTCAGTGGTATCAATGGAATCCAGTCCAACAACTTTGATTTGGCAGTTTCTCCTAAACGTCCTTGTTTCCAGCATCCATTTCTGTCTGATTTAGGTGCCTGTTCTTTGTTTCTCTGCTTCTCCTCAGAATGTGCCCATTATAATGCCATCTTTTTTTTTTTTTTTAAATAAAAATTTATAGCGGCAATTTTCCTACATTACTCTTAGTCGTGTCTGCTATAGAATTTATTTAACCATATGTTTTGTATTCTTCTATCCTTACAATTAAAATTGCATCTTTTATTTAGAATAAAAAATATTGTGTATTTAACCATGTGTATTTTATCTCATGGTTTATTATGTTCTTTTCAGTCAGCCAAATTTGATGGAAGATCAGGCAAAGCAAAAAATACAGTCAACCAAGCTCTTGATAAAATGGCCAACATTTTATCACACAAGCAGGCCAACAGTACTGCTCTGGCAGCAGTCATCGAGATCAGGCTGGAAACAGCAATAAGTGAAGAGGAAGATGAAGGTATTAGTGTTACTTAAATTAAAGACAGTACTGATGATACTAGACAGTATCGATGTCTGACATTAGACAGTATCAATGTTTGCCTCTAGACAGTATCAATGTCCAACACTTGACAGTATAGATGTCTGCCATGAGAGAGAATTGATTTTTACCACTAGACAGTATCGATGTCTACCACTAGACAGTATCGATCAATGACTGCAACTAGACAATATGGATGTCTGCCACCAGACAGTAAGGATGACTGCTACTAGACAGTAATGATGACTGCTACTAGACTGTATTGATGACTGCTACTAGACAGTGTTGATGACTGCCGTTAGACAGTACTAATGTCTGCCACTAGACAGTATCTATGTTTGCTTCTAGACAGTATCGATGTCTACCACTAAACAGTATCGATTTCTTCCACAAGACAGTTTTGATGTCTGCCACTAGACAGTATTTATGTCTACCACTAAACAGTATCAATGTCTACCACTAAACAGTATCAATGTCTACCACTAAACAGTATCAATGTCTACCACTAAACAGTATCAATGTCTGCCACTAAACAGTATTAATGTCTGCCACTAAACAGTATCAATGTCTACCACTAAACAGTATCGATTTCTTCCACTAGACAGTATCGATGTCTGCCACTAGACAGTATTAATGTCTGCCACTAGACAGTATTAATATCTGCCACTAGACAGTATTAATGTCTGCCACTAGACAGTATTGATGTCTGCCACTAGACAGTTTTGATGTCTGCCACTAGACAGTTTTGATGTCTGCCACTAGACAGTATTAATGTCTGCCACTAGACAGTATTAATGTCTGCCACTAGACAGTATTAATGTCTGCCACTAGACAGTATTAATGTCTGCCACTAGACAGTATCAATGTCTGCCACTAGACAGTATTAATGTCTGCCACTAGACTTATTGATGGATGACTGCCACTAGACAGTATCGATGTCTGCCACTAGACAGTATCGATATTTGGCACTAGACAGTATTAATGTCTGCCACTAGACAGTATTGATGTCTGCCACTAGACAGTTTTGATGTCTGCCACTAGACAGTATTAATGTCTGCCACTAGACAGTATTGATGTCTGCCACTAGACGGTATTGATGTCTGCCACTAGAGAGTATCAATCAATGTCTGCCACTAGACTGTTTTGATGTCTGCCACTAGACAGTATTAATGTCTGCCACTAGACAGTATTGATGTCTGCCACTAGACTGTATTGATGACTGCCACTAGACGGTATTGATGTCTGCCACTAGAGAGTATCAATCAATGTCTGCCACTAGACTGTTTTGATGTCTGCCACTAGACAGTATTGATGTCTGCCACTAGACAGTATCGATGTCTGCCACTAGACAGTATTGATGTCTGCCACTAGACTGTATTGATGACTGCCACTAGACAGTATCGATGTCTGCCACTAGACAGTATTGATTACTGCCACTAGACTGTATCAATCAATGTCTGCCACTAGACAGTATCAATCAATGTCTGCCACTAGACAGTATCAATCAATGTCTGCCACTAGACAGTTTTGATGACTGCCACTAGACAGATTGATGACTGCCACTAGACAGATTGATGTCTGCCACTAGACAGTATCAATCAATGTCTGCCACTAGACAGATTGATGTCTGCCACTAGACAGTATTGATGTCTGCCACTAGACAGTATTGATGTCTGCCACTAGACAGTATTGATGTCTGCCACTAGACAGTATTGATGTCTGCCACTAGACAGTATTGATGTCTGCCACTAGACAGTATTGATGTCTGCCACTAGACAGTACTTATGTCTGCCACTAGACAGTATTGATGTCTGCCACTAGACAGTATTGATGTCTGCCACTAGGCAGATTGATGTCTGCCACTAGACAGTATTGATGACTGACAATAAAGAATTTATATGGCTGCCACCTCTGTCTTGTTCCAGAACATGAGTTTTTCATGCACATTTATTTCAAAGTTCTGTCCTATTTGTATGCCGACTGTTGGTTCCTTGTCTCTTAGACAGATGCATTCCGACTTTGAAGGAAACACCCCTAATTAGCTGCCTTACAACACACCTGTCATGAGGTAATGACATGGTGGGGTACAACAAAAGATAAAGGACCATTTCAGTCTATTTAATCTGGTGATACTGATGAACAATGGTGGTTTAACTCTTTGAGTCCCAAGGAACTCATCATACCTTCATAGATTCCTACCTAGAGGCCCAATAAACGCATGATGCACAGATTTTATGTCTCTTTTGACTACCCCTTGGGCCTGTGATGCTAAATCCCCTGGGACTCAAAGAGTTAAACAGATTATAAATGTGTTGTTGTTTCTCACTCTGTATTACCAATTGTTTGCATCTTCAGCAGGTCCTATGATTTAGATAATTAATTCAATTATTATTTATCTTTCCTCAGAGTCCACCTACCTTGTTCCAGTTCTGTGTTCAGTAATCACGATTCTAGGAGTCACATGTGTGGTTCTGCTCATCGTTTGGCATCGCCGTGTCCAAAGAAGGAGAAGAAACCTTCGGGAGGAGTACCTTGCCAGCACACAAACAGCTGCTAATAATGAAAATCAAGACAATATCCGCAGATATCGCAATCCGCTCTTCTCATCCAGTGATAAGAGGGGTATTCCAAAACCTGTTCCGACAGAGGAGTTGCATGACATTGATATGGAAAAATATGATAAGAATCCCAGACGCTATCTGGCACATGCTGACTCCTCTCCTGATCTGAATGATATCCAAGAATACAGGCCTCAGCCAAAGAAAAACAACAAGAAGGACATCAACATTCAGCTTTCCAGGTCACTTCTTGATGAGCCAGAGGTTATTGTATAGTCTCCTAAAACTCATTATTGTTAACTCTTTGAGTCCCAGGGGGTTTAGCATCCCAGGCCCAAGGGGTAGTAAAGAGAGACCTAAAATCGGCGCATCTTGTGTTTACTGGGCTTCTAGGTAGGAACCTATGAACGTATGATGCGCTCCTCGGGACACAAAGAGTTAATACGTCATTTGTAATATCCTTTTGGATAAGAGAACGGCAAGCGACAATCACAATGGGCATTCTTCTCATATTGTGTTTTCTAACTGGAGTTTAAGAGGCCAACAGAAAATATCCAAGAAACCATTTGAAAACTTTAGATGAGCTGTCTGGATCATTGAATATCTAAAGATGTTTGATGGGTCAGTTGAAAAGCACAAATGTTGCAGCTCTGTTGTACACAGGAACAATGCAATTATACCCAAAACAAAACAGTATCTAGTGAATTATTTATTTATTTTCTACCAAGCAGCAGATGTTTATTATAGTTTCTCTATATATGGTATATATTTCTTTCTTATAACTTCTGTCTTACTTTTATGTTACTTTGACTGTTTCAGTACCAGCCTGTGATTACTTTAAATCCTTCTACCCTGCAATGTTCTAGTGTCAAGTAGCCAGTACTGAAACTGAAAGATGTTGAAACATTAACACTGTGTGGCAGAAGAAATCAAACTCTCAATTCTGACATAATGGGATAATATACCAACTGCCTGTGAATGAACAGAGTCAGAAATGTGTAGTGTTCCTGGATGAACCAGTCCAACCACTCAGAAATGGTAACCTGCATGATCATAAAAACAACAACAACAACAACAATAATGAAATTCTACAATGAATCCTAAATGTAAGTAGAAGAGACAGAATCAGAAATGAGGATATCTAAAAGGAAGAACCAGTACTAACTACATCAGGAGGCAACTGATCATTTGGTTTGGGAAAAGTGTCAAGACTAGTTAGTTAATCTACAGATTATCCTCAGTTCACACTGGACAAGTACATAAGTTGAAACAATAACATACTAGAATAAATTGGTAGGGTAGACCGGCTTGGTACTGAACAAATTAAAAAAAATTGGAAACAAAGTAAACTTTATGTACAGCATTTTTTAGTTCACCTCCATTGCTGGTGAAGAACTACACATGAAACATATCTTACTTATGATTAAAGGCAGCGGGCACTTCGCCACATATTTTGCAGCAAATAATTTTTTTCTGGCTCAAAATTGTGTCCTGAAAATGTAGCACATTCTGGACACTATCATTGTGAGTGCATTTGATAAACTGTGGCGAGAATATGTACAGTTAGCTATAGATGATATAGTTTGAGATGAAATCTTGACTTTAGTAAAAAAATGATTAATTAGCACAGCATCATCAGTTCTCTTTATGCCCAGTGGCACAGGAGGCTTCAGAGAGGACTTTCTATGCTTTCCTGTCCTGTGCAATCTTCAGTGCAGTTTTCCATGTCAGAGATGCCGCATTCAGGTCACTCTCCATCATTCGTCTCCATGTTGTTTTTGGGCGCCCCTGTTTTCTATTTCCCCCTGGTGTCCATGTGAGAGCTGTTTTGGCATGCATATCCTAATTCATTCTCATAACGTAACCAAGCCATTTCCATCTTCTCTTGGTTATTATACTGTCTAGAGTTTCTTGGTTTGAGACTTGAAGTAGTTTAGTGTTTGAGATTGTATCTGGCCAGAAAATTTTGATAATTCTGCGAAGACATGTGCGGTGGAAGGTGGATAGCTTGTGTGCATCCTTTTTGGTCATTCTCCAGCATTCTGCTCCATAAAAAAAATAGAACTGGCAAAATAATGCTCTTGTGGAGTCGAAATTTTGTTCCTCTGCAGTAACTGTTGGATTTCCATATTTGCCTCATCCTTCCAAAAGCAGCTCTAGCTTTGTTCAGGCGTGACTGTATGTTTTCCTCTGTCCCTCCCAGTAGGGACACCACACTGGCACAGCATAGAAACTGTTAAATACAAAGATTTTATATAGATTGGGAGTGAAGAGAGTTGGTAGATAAATTCAAAACATGACTTTTGTATGGTGGTACACAACACTACATGGTACCAGCACCTTTCATTTTTATTTTTAAAAATTTTGTTAAGCACAATAAATATTTTATGGTGAGTGTCAGCACCATGTCTTAGACACTTTTGGAGATACTTTTATACTGTATCATATTTTTTTATTTAACAGACTGGATGTATAATGCAAATATGTGACAATATTTAAAACAATTAATTTAAATTTCTCATCAATTATTTATTATCACAATGTTTCATATAATAAATTCAGTCACCATTTTGTCTTGTGCTTGCTATTAGATTTGTGCCATTGGTCAAGTCAAGCTTCTTTTCTTGTTCATTTTTCATGATGCTTAACTTTTAATTTTGTGGAGTAATTTTCTCAATATGCTGCTAACGGATTAGCAGAAATTATGTAAAATAAAATTTCATGTCCGATTTTTTATTTGAACTCTTTGAGTCCCAGAGGGTTTAGCATCACAGGCCCAAGTGGTAGTCAAGAGAGACGTAAAATCAGCGCATTATGCGTTCATTGGGCTTCTAGGCAGGAACCTATGGACGTATGATGCGTTCTTTAGGACTCAAAGAGTTAAATTTATTATTTTTTAGAATAGCTGGAATTTAACGGAAACTTACATGTGCACATTGCTTGTTATTATATTTACCAATGGGCTTTTTTTTAAACCAGTGCATTAACTCTGAATATTTTTGTTGACTTTGTCCTGCTAAGCTGCAGGATTTATGATTATGCTTTTAAATTACTGGCTACTCTAGACTTTTTATATTTATTTAATTAATGGTGACATAAAAACTGTGGATTTTGATTATTTTTGCCATGTCAGCTAATAAGTATAATTGTATACTTTACTTCTGTCTTTCCTGAATAGCAACATGTTGTTTTAAATTTAGTTCAGAGCTGAATAAGAATTGAGATTGCATCACTCAGAGCATGTGCTACATCCGTATCTTCTGGAGTCATTGTAGAGTGAACCAATACTAGAAGTTTCCAGTTGCAGAGTAATAATTATATGAAGTTGTGGACTCTCATATCGCAGTACATGTGTTGCAATACATATGTCGAACTATTACTTTACAGTTCATATTTCTAGGGGCCGGGTTAGTGTAGTAGATAGGAGACTCGCACTCAAATCCAGCTGCCACACGCTGCAGCCCACGACCAGTGTTTGAATCCAAGCGGCTCCCGGGGCTCACACATCCTCTAGGGAATGAGTACCAAAGTTAACATTTTGGGGTAAATGGAGGAACGTCGCTGTAGTTACGGAATTGTGTGCGTATGGCGACATAGGCAGACAGTTTCTAATCAGCTGTCTGTACTGCTGGCAGAGCACTTATGGTTTATAACCGTGTGTAATGACTCTGGTTTACATCTCCCGACCTTATGTTTTTTTTTTTTAACCATTACTTTAAAGTAAAAATTTTGGACACCTGTACTGTCTAATATTTTTCAAAAACCTCATATTGCCAATCAAGGTAAACTCCTGAAATACTGACCAAATGAGACCACTTTTAATAGGAAGTCTGTCTGTCAGCTACAAGCAGAAACAGATATCATCAACAGACGCAACATTGCAAGGTTGATGAAAGATCTTGTATTATATTTATAGTCGCTGTCATGTGGCATTAGTAATTATGTCTGTCCACAGCCTTTTGTTTTGTGTACTGTCAGTCATATCTGATACGGATGTTTTTTAATGTCATGATACCAAACTGTCCAACATCTTTTTCTGTTGGTCTCACTCTGCCCCTCTTTCCCTCCAACTGTTTCTTTGTCATAATGTATTTTAGTTGTCCCAAAGAATTTAGTCTGCACACTGACTACTGCCCTAGAGCAAGAGGCAGATCGAGAGTACGATGGATAGACAATATATCAGAGATCCTGAGGCAACACGGACTAACAACAACACATGCCACACACCTGGCCCAGGATAGAAAACTGCGACTCCCCACTACGCTGTGAGGCAACTGTGGACAAGACAAGACAAGACAAGACAAGACAAGACTGACTACAGATGAATGTAGGTAAAAGGAGGCAGTCCTGTATGTCAGAAACAGAGTATACCATTAGCTAAGTTTCTCCACTGGAACATGTTAGGCTCAGTGCTGAGTGGACTGAACACCAGGCAAAATGCAAGAGCCTTCAGAGCATTTAAAGCATTCAGTTTAACTACTTTAAACATGGCAATGGAGATAACAGCTGTCACAGGGGCACCTGCACAGATGGTGGAACAGAAAAGCAACTAACACATTTATAATGACAGACTGAATGAGCAAACTTAAGAAGATCCAAACTGGCAAACTCCACATAGAATAGGCTTTACCAGCATATTCTAGGAGGAGTTTGCCAGTTTGTCCTGTCTCAAGAAACTCTTCTGACTGTATGCACTGTGACAGGCCGGAGTGAAAGGAAATGACAGATCTTACAGACTAGCTGTTTCTGCAGTAGTTAGTGCAGGAAGAAGTATGGACAGATCAGGCATGCTGAATGCACTGCATTCCAGAGACATTAAGACAAGAGTCTGAGACAAGGAGTCACCTAAGGCAAGGAAATGAGTATTAAATGAGTACAAGTGAGTGAACAGTGCCAAGGCACAGATAGATCATTACGGTCTGAGGAGAATGGCACTGCGAGGAGTTACAAGGGGATCTGGCCGATGATCAACACTCAGGAGCAAGGCGAGATGGATATCAGACAGTTACTGGTACCATCAGAATTTTAACTCTTTGCTGCTGAAGATGGGGATGGAGGGCTTATGGGGTAGTCACGAGTTCTGTGATGTGGATTCTTAATTCAATATTCCACAAACGAGTACAAGCATTTAGAAACTAATTTCAGGCCAAAAGAAATAAAACAGGAAAAAATACCAGTCAACTTTAACTGGGTGAGCATAAAGACAGTGAGATGGTTGCTGCATCAGCGAACAGAGCAATAACGGGTCAGACAGATGTGCTAGGATGGTGATGAGG